CACACCACACACATCACAACACCGCGTTCTTCTACACATTTGACGGTTGTGGAGAGCCCTGCCACCAACAGCAATGAATAATCCTGACATCGAGCAGCATAAAACATTGTACATTAGTCGGGAGGAGTCACGCAGTCCTTTAAACATCGAAGACTATTTTGATGTTGATAAGAAAATCGCCAAGCCAGGTTTCAAGACTCTGGATGGGAAATTTAATTGGCATTGCAGCTGTGTCGCAAGCTACGTAACAAGTCCGTGTGGTGTCTACTTCCGGAATTTTTTGGCAAATATGGACAAGTTTATGGGGACTAATGATAGTACCCTCGATGACAAAGCAAAGTATACATTTGAACAATGCTACGCGGAGCTGACAACATGCATGAAGAAATATCCCTCATATTATAAGTCCATCCTGGATCAGTATAGTGAGTCCTTGCAGGATGTGCTAAATGATCAGTTGACGTAAAAAACGCGAGTTTTGCCTTTTTCATGTTTTTGAGTATCCCATTTCTCCCTAGATAAACCCGCAATAGTTTCACAGCCTCATGTGTTTTTTGATTGCCAAATATTGTTCCCATCATAACTTAGCCATCCCAAGTCAAATGGAAAATCCGGTAGATGATTGCATGTTCTACTCTATATAAAGACTAATAAGGACTTAGATGTCAGTGCATAAGACTTGACGTCCTTCGCTGTGTGGTACAGTCTATGTCCTGTTGTTAATTCCCTCTCATTCTTTTGCTACGTGCATTGACCGCATTAGTTTATAGCACATGGCATTCCCCCAAACACTAACTTTGTTTGGGTAAGAGCTCTTGTCTATTCGTCCTAGTTCACTCCCGGCAGATTTTGGCTAGCCTAGATCTCTGTGTATGAGTTGCAGGTAGAGACGGGAACTTTCATGATCTTTCGATATTTCCTACATTGAAGCGCCGTGGCTCTTCGTCCTGAAGTATGCTTCACTATTTAACCTGGGAGCCAATTGTCACCTCTTATGCAAACAACTTAGGTCTTTGTTACAGTAGGCGGAAATGTTTCTTTGGATTAGCAACATTTACGAACGACGAATCCCCACCATTGAGCGAAGGGATAAGGAGTGCTCACACCTGCTAGCCGTATTTCCAGGTACAGACAAATGAATTCCATGTTATAGGAATCTCTTCTTGTTACCGTCGCATGTCTAAGGGGGCAAATAAGTACACATAGCCGTGGCGTTTAATCGGATATGACAGAACTGGGTGCGCTCGTTTGGCTTGTAAATTTCTTAGACATTATTACAGGCACTCCACCTTGCCAACCACTTTATTGCTATTTGAACAACAAACCGGGCCTTCGGCGTTTAATTCAGCTTTCAGTGCAGACAATGTTCGACGTGATTTCTATGTATTCTTTTAGTTGGTCTACGTAGCCATCCCTATCCGACAAAAATTGGTTTTCTCATCAATCTGTTCATATTGACCCATTTGGGGTAAAACAATAAAAAAAGCTTAAGTTAAGCTGCAGAACTGAAAGAAAAACTGTGCGTCGACAGAGTCGAAATACTGAGGCGTTTGTACATTAAAGCCCTCTACGCCATGGGGGTAGCATGCACAGATGAAATGTACAAAGTAATGTGGAGGTAGGGTTAAGGCAAGTCGGAGTGAAGTAGAGAGATGATTTCATGAAATAAAAGTCAAGCCTTGATGGAACGTAAATGACTAGCCGGAGAAACCACGACGATACACACTCGTGTTTTGGGGAGTGGGATGGAGTAGAATGCCGAGCGACGTAAATTGATCAACAGAACTTGATTTGAGAAGTGTTCATTCCCACGGCGTGCTACGCTACCATGGGTCTTGTGCACTGGGTTTCGGTTTGGATAACCAGATTAGAACGTAGATTAACGAGAGTGTCCCATTTTTCGATCCACGAAAAACCATAAAGTGACAAGTGTGTTAACCTATTATGAGAAGTACAGATTAGAAGCAAACGAATATAAGCATGCATTAAAACTATTTCGTACCCTAAGAAAGCAGTAATGTTCGCATGTACCGCATTTTATAGGCAAGGTAAAATTAGCAATTACCAGTCTAGAAGATCATGCATTGAACTCGGCAAAATTAATCACTTTTGTAAAACTACCATCGTTTTCTGGTGTGTGGACTCATTCAACTGGAAAAAGGTTCTCAATTTTTCCAGAATAACGGAAGACAACATTGGGCTAAATTAAATTGATTAAGCGGGGTTACATTTAAGTTCTTTTCATTTTGAGTTCTCTAACCACAAAATATTGCTCAAGTTGACTTGAGGCATACTTTACACAGCATAACCGCTGAGCAGCGGTTGTAACATACAGCCACTTACGGCGTACAATGATTTTGAAGGTGGAAATTAAAAGATGGTTACCCATAGAAAGTAGCAATTACCGAAGATGCAAACAAATTTTCGAAGTAGGACATTAGGGGGTGACATGGATAGTTGGCGAGGGTGTTCATATACGTCGTGAGAGAATACCACTCGACAGTGGACGCCACCGGGAAAAGTGCTGATGTAACTCGTCACGGGACAAAGTAAAACTACTATGACAAAGGGGTGACATGAGCACTACAAATGGACTTACTTTTGACATGAGGTGGCTAATTTCTCCAGAGCCACCGGGGTTATTTGAGGACAAAAGCTAATGCGAAGCGATTTGAGGCAAGCTGCCGGGGCGTCGGCTAGACAAAGAAGCCTACCAATTTAAGAAAACATAAAGGTGTTACCGAATTTACCAATATTGCATCAGCAAGGGGAAAAGCCAAACAAGATGGCGAAGTTGTTTCAATCGCCGCGGTCGACCGTGACAGTGTGCCCCAGTCGTGAGGTAATCGTGCCCATTCCTCAGAGGATAATCTCGGAAGCCCCAACTCCGTTAATCGCACGAACTTATTTCTACTATCCAGGATGTGGGTACTGCGAGTTCCGTTTTTTGGCCATAGTCAACCGTCACCCATCATCCTTTGTTGTTATGTTACGTCAACCTACAGCATTCGCCTTAATCCCTCCATCAACAGCGCAAAGGGCTGCAGTCAAGATTCTGGCGAGTTGTATTCGAACAAGCGGACACGTTGACACTAGTAAAGTATGGATTCTGAGACGTAATCAGATATTAGATTGAAGATAGATTACATCAGGACAATACGGTTGGAGGAATGAGATTTGCTTTAACCATCAGAACATCTCAGTGGACATACACATCCACTGCGGCACTCAGCGAATAGGAGGATGAACCTATGGTGAAATAGACGAAGTTAAACCTGCCTTCTCTACTACGAATATTAGAAGGAATAAAGTGCCAGAGGATCACGACGAGCCAATCCTAGGCGCTGGTCACGAGGTTATATCTAAAATGCCCGTTGCATGATCCGTCAAGAGCATACACTAGCGCAGATTAAATGAATAAACGAAAACAGAAAAGTTTGAAATAAGTTCACTAGGGTATACGTGAACATTTTCAAGCACATTCAGTGCTTGCATAAGACAATGAAGAGAACTCTTCCGAATGGTGAAGTGGGTTACCAAACAATATGCGTTCGAAAATCCCTGGTAAACACAGTCATCGCGATAGCTATGAAAGCTGACTTATGTTACTTCTCAGACTGAAACAACACCTGTCGATTCTGGAGTCAGTAAAGGTTTCGGTGCCAAGACTTAATTGGCGTGAGTTGAACTTGGAGTGACATTGGCAGTGGTTAAAAGAAATGCAAAATTGACGGATTTTCGAACAGTAAAATGAAAAATGCCTTATCGGACCAGGTAACCGACGACTAAGCAAACTAGTTCCACGACCTTTTAAACAGCTGCTGTAACACGAATATCCGATTGCACTCATTAAGATTTTTTCTCTCGTTGTACTTTCGGATGCCACATCAAATTTCAGCAGAGATGGCATTCCGGAACATTTTCCTAATTAAGGTTTTTTTAATTTAAATAAAAATTTCCTGAACACATAGTACTTTAGCACCAACCTGTTACTCCGGTTTCGCTAATGCATTCGTTTACTAAACCTATCGAATATGGGTAAATTTACTCAGCTTACACGACGACCACAGTAAATTTTGCAAAAACAAAAAACCACACAGGCAACTGCAGTAAGGATTTGTAAACATAGGTTAATTCGGGCTCTCGAGGCTAGAATAAAGGAAGTCAATTGAAACGACTAACCCGGCTTCCGTAACAGATGTGCACGAGATGTCGAGCTCTTCGAGAAGCGGACAGCTGGCAGCGAGTGCCTGGAGCGTCTTGTCACCGACAACTGTAAGTCCGCAGAGATCGAGTACGCGCAGACGAGGCAGCTGGTGTAGCATCGTGATCACGCCTTCTTCACGGGTTAGCGAGGACATATTCGCCAACACAACCTCCTCCAACAGGGGACACTTTTTTGCTAGTCGAGAAAGACTTGAGTCTGTTACCAACTTCTGGGTTCCTCGCAGGTCCAGTGACGCCAATAAGGGTAGCTAAAAAAACATTAACTCAAGTACAGAGAGTGAAAGACGTCATCGTAGCATTTAGTCGGCAGGCAATGGCAAGAGATTTGATGACTTAAACAATTAAAATACAGCTGACATAATAGTCTAAAGCGAAAGGATGGAAGAACGAAGAATCCTTGCTCACCCAGCAAATTGAGCGATTCCGAACGGGAATCAGCAAGAATAACAAACCTTTGAAACGAGTTCAATTAGTCCTTTCGAGGAGAGATGATGCAGAAACCCGAACGCTAGAGCCTTAAGTCCGTGACATTCACCGAGGGTCGCGAAAATCTTCGAGTTGAGATTGAAACACCCGAACAACTCGAGTCGTTCCTACGATGAAACGGAATAACATAAGACGTTACTAGCCAATTTTACAAAAAAAAACAGGTATAATTGAGACAAGATTGCCTTGTCCACTTTTACTGAATAAAGGATTATGAATATGCATGTCGAAAGACTGACGCCGAAGGAGTAGCTCCGAACATAAAATTTCCGATAGGGGTTTTTACTTGCCTAAGTCCACGGAAATTCAACCAGCCTATTAGGAAAATGACGTATCCATCCAATCTCTGGCCTCTCAATTATTCGCGGGACTTTCCGAGCAGTTTTCTGTTAAAAATAAATTACCAAAGGTAGCAAACGTGATATGCTGTGATTGGCAGGTATTCCTTCCTACAAAGCTTTATCAGAATCCTGTCCTGGTAGACCAACTGGGTTTAATTCAGAATGTGTGCAGAGCTGAAAACGCCTCCGAACGTCTTCAGCCCTCCTGTTGAGGCAGTACTGGCGTAACCCGACTTCGTACACACCCACAAGAGTAGTGTAGAGGTTTCAATTAACATTATTTATTCACAAACCCCAAGTTATCCGTAATATATTCAGCTCGCGAAAGGGGGTTTTGATGTGCGGCTGGGCTGTCGCCAGACAGCACAGGGGACTAAGGTGGAAAACACATGATTTGCCCCAGTCTGTTCAAGGAGCGTAATTTCATGACAAATTGCAATTCATTCAGTTGAGGTACCTAACCTAAGTTCTTCCATCAGTTTTATATACGACTAACGACAAGAGGTACCAGTTCGTCATTTTTTGATCAAATAAGCCACAAAAAATCTGTAAAACCGGGAAGTTTATTCGGTTTTTTTTTCAATATTCAATTTTTTGACTGCGAGGAAAAATCTTGGCTTCAAATCCTGAAGACTGATTGATTTCAATGTTTACAATCTAAGAATGACCTTTATTAAAGCTAATTTGTTCGACCATAGTCTAATAATGCCCCATGAGGGAAATAATATCTTCAGCTAATTTTCAAAGAACATTAATGAAACTAGTTTAAATGAGAACAGTTGAGAATAAATTACAATTAAAATAAACTAATTGATAATGTGCATCAGCAACAAATCCTTATTTGGCTCCGGCGAGAAGGGTTAAGTTGGATGTCGTTATCCCCACGGGTTCTTTGTTTTGTTCTGCTTTGATAATACAAGGTTGAAATGCGCTCCGCGTTTTCAACACTCGATACTGGGTTAAATGAATTGCTATTGATTGAGTTTGATAGCAATAGAAATAACTGCAATCGCGAAGCACACAGCACGAAGATAACACAACGTTACCAAGTTAATTGAGGGGTGTAAAAAGCTGCATAAAGATGTCTCACCAACGTATTTTTGTGATGCCGTACGAGATGTTCAATTGCTGAATTCGAAATTTGTTGAGCCCCGTTAAGGAGGAGGCTCTTCAGTGCAACCGAGCTCTCCGCAATCGCGCGTACGGTCTGGTCGCGAACTGTGTGAGCGTAGCTCGCATCAATGTGAGACAAGTTGGGACAAAGAGACGCCGATACAAGCAACGGCAAATCCCCCTGGAAGGCTCCCTTTGAACAACCGATAAAGGAGAAGTGCCGCAGACTTGCGCCACAGGCCCCAAATAACTGTTGTATACCTAAAGCAGATAGAGACATTGACAAGGTCACCTAAACATAACATAAGCCAGCAAAAAAACTACAAAATCAAACATTAGTTAATAGGAAATTTGTGCAATCTTTAAAAAGCACTTATGGCCAAAGTGTCACGTAAAACAATCAAATTCTGCAGATCTCCCTCTAATTTCTAAATTAATTCCCTTAACTGTGACGAAATTATCAGCAGCAAATAAACAACAAGTACAAAATTAGAAATAAGATATACGATGTTTCGAGTCGATGTTAAGATAGAGACCCTTCAGAAAAACAGAAAAATGACCTAATTCAAAGGATATAATATTGCGAAAAAGTAAAACGTTAGGTTGGTGGCCAGTATCCATGTCTAAGTAATTAAATATACAAGACTTTAGAGAAAATTCCTTTTTCGTTTTGCCCCAGATGACAACAATACCTGCAAATCCCTAGATCCCTTTCACACAAACCAATGTATTTTTGCGGCAATTTCAGCGTTTTCGCCTCACACAAGATCTTATCAGAATGGTTGGAAATCGTTCATATTAACCATGAGTGAACGGCAATAATGTTCGACAAACTGACGTCAGTTCAACATTTCAAGCACAGAACTTTGCTCGGTTACATCGACCACCGAGTGCTAACAATTTCGACTCTTAGGGGGTCCTGTCATCTCTAATTTTTATCAAAATTTTACAAGATTTAACTTACAACGTGCTTTTTTCGCCGACGATACATTAGTCGAAAAACCGCAACGTATAAAACCCACTTTGACTTAAATACCTATGAATCAAATCAGACAGATCAGCTAGAGAAGGATAGAAATTCGTAAGAATTTAGCCAGAGAATAGCCGCATGAAAATTAAATTCCTTCAATCACGAACATTGGAAGTCAAACGTTCGCTAGACTTCTTACCATTTTTTATTGTTTGGTTAATATTCTTAGTTTAGACCATTGACTTACCCCATGTGGTAACAGCATCACCACGACAGTAAGTTAAATGGAGCTGCTGCGGTTGCATTCTTCCTAGTTTTGCCAAGCCAGAATCCGTAAGATGCTGATAACGATCTAGTCGTATAACACGCCAATTGTGTCGGTCTGCAACAATGACACTAAGCCTGCGGCACGTTCTCGCCAGTGAAGCACGATCTGTATAAGGAAGGAACCTCACAACATGGTACCAAAGCTCGGTGGGAAGGCGGAGCCAAACCGAATCGTGACTGGTGTCGTCTCCACACGGCGAAATATCTTTGTCTTCTATGTTGGCTGACTATAGAAAATAAAGGGACAACAGCTTCACAGATTTTGAACTGAGATTGCAAAGGCAAAGCACATAAAACCCTTTGAACTTGAAGGGCACAAGTGACCCATTAAGTCTACTACAAGTTAGGAGAACCAGATCGTACGAGAGCCCATCGTTTTAAGTCTCCACAGCAAAATTGCACATTCGGACACTGAATACGGACACGAGGGAGAGCGCAACGCTGTTTAAGAGTTCGTATACGAAAGCCACTATAGAAAAAGAGTAGCGACGTCCAGAAAAAGAGCCTGGGAGCCGAATGCATCCAAGAGAAAACATTGACGCGAACCGGGCGGATCAGGTTTATTGGATTGATGATTGACAGGATACATAGATAATTTAAGCAAGTAAAAAATGATCAGGCATTAAAAAATAAACGAGCATTAATGGCCCAATTTAATGAAAAAAACTAAATGGTAAGAATAAAAGAGAAGCCTGCATGTGTAAAAACTCACTAAATCTCTCTTCAATGAAACGTTTTGAACGGTCTCCTCCAGTTCGTCCAAAGACTTTGCGAAAGTTGGTTCCTGGTGCGCAATGACTTGAGACTTGCGATCGAGACTGCTAATTGTGTTTTGGACGTGGGACGACACTCGTTGGGGCTTCTTTCGTCGTTTGGGAGCAAACGAACCTACATTACTGCAACAATAGTGCATTGATAAGGACAAAAATACTTCTGGCAAATTAAAAATTTCCCATTTTTTTCAAATGAATGAGCCAGCATATACCAAACACGAGTTGGCTTTTTAGAAAACGGCTACTATAAAAAACCGACTGACTTTAGGATGAACGAAAACTGTGGGATGACAATAACGACGACTAACTACCCTTGGTTCAAGGAACTTCAATGCAGAAACATACCACGGAAGTTGAAGGTTACGTTGTTTCACTTGACGCGCAATGTTATCTGATTGATTCCTTCTAATTTGTTTGTTTGACTCTCTGTTGCGAAAACGCGACGTTTTTTTTTGAACCAAACACTCTCCATTACTTTGGTACTGCAAGTTCCGCGGCACATGTTGAAGGTGCGGATAGAGCTGATCACCATTTGGATATTGAATTAGTACATCACCACACGTCTGCGACGGATCCACCATGTTACAACCAGCCAGTAACTCAGCCAGCTGATCAACGCTCTGGCTGGTGTATTGATGATCGAGAAGATAGAGGGCGAAATTGTCACTGCACTGACCGGGCACATAAAATTGTGGGGACATAGTGTGAAAGTGGTGGGGATCTGATTGATGAGTTTCACTGATATCAGACTCGGAACAAACATTACCAAAAAATAGAGTGCCTCCGTAATTTGTGTTCTGGAAACCTTGAGCAACACCTGACAAACTATTACTTGGTCCAGAAATGCACCGTTGTCGCAGCTGACGCGAAGTCAATCTGGCATGCGAAGCCCCACTGCTGGCGGAGGAATTTTGGTAAGGGGAGTTTGTTGCAATCGTATTACTTTCTTTACAGGATTCTAACGGCGCCCCAAGGAGTACGTTCCCGTCGTTAGGCTCCGTCGAAGTGGATCCCTCATATATCGAGGCGCAAGACACTGACTTCCGGGCAGATTGGATTGCTTGTCTAACGGGGACAACATTAGTTTCACCAACTTGTGTCAATGTACTTTGGATCGCGTCATAACACTTGAACAGATAAGGTGTTATGGGGTTAAACTGTTGCCAATTGTGTGGGACGTAATATGGAACCGGAATTTCCACACTGGGGGGATCGTTACCAATCAGTAAACACCCGCAATCAATGCACCAGTTTGAGTATGAACCATTTTCACAGCCGCATTCAGGGCAAACGGATAGCACCGGTATGTTTGGTTGGCAAGAACCTGATGACTTCATCCTGAAGATGCACCTAGAGCCTTGAAAGACGTATTTGCAAAATAGGGCTGGAAGTGGCTATTGTGGTAAAGACCAGCAATTAAATCCCCGTAAGATTTACAGGAAACCTCTGCAGCAAACTGACCGAAACCTAACCCGAACTATGGCGAAATGCAGGAAGTAAAAGTGACGAAGATAATCTTTAAACAGAAGCAACTACAGCCAATGAAAAGTCAAGCATCATTGGCCTAGTGAACAATGGATGTTATTTCAAACAAAGCGTCGACATTCGTGATTAATTTTTTTGTTAAAATTCATGGTTTATGCAATGCATTAAAAACTAGCATGGTCACCGTATGATACAAAAAATCAATTATTTTTCCCGTGAATTGGAAAAGGGACGACGATTAAAAAAAAATTTTGGCGAAATTCAAAAGGTCTTACGAACTTCTAAGCCTTTGCAAGTGTATTAAACGATACTAATCTTTGTCAAAATATCAATTTTGATGTAATAAGTGTAAATAAACGCATCTTTTCTCCTGATTGCCAGCAAAATATATTTTCACATTTCAATATCAAATGAATATCCTATGACGGTTTTATGTGAGATTCATACCGAAATACACTACTAGTAAGGAGCATGAAAAATCTCGTCAAAAATTTTAAATTGATTACTGGCAAATCTAGTTGGCAATAATTTTCAGAGTGGGCACGAACACACATCAATGTGACAGTCTTTAGGTTTAAAAATAATGTTTTTTTCTCAATTCTTAATTTTTCAACACAGCTGTTGCAAATTTTAAGCAAGTATAAATTTAAAGTTCTCGAGCATAAATTGCATCACTGCTCGTTTACTCACTGGGCAAAGAGTACGATTGTGACTTGTGTGTGGTTGTAATACCGTCACAATCGAAGGCATTCAATGATCAACAAACGAATATGGGAGTCATTAAAAAAACTAAATCTGAATAGGTTTTTTTGATAAGCCTTTACCATAATGTCACAGAAAGTAGCTTTTCGACAGAAGAGAATATACGTATAGGTAAGCTATGCTGGGAAGAATTAATGCCGTCGATGTGAATTGCCGATATGAAGAAGGCGAATACTAATTACCATGCACGAACAAGTAACTATTTTTTTATCAAGCGTAAAAGCTTTCTGTTTTATTTAAAGATTGTACACCGCAGCATCGTATTAATATTTCCACAACTAACTAGGTGATAGGTGTTGATTTGGTATTTAGGTGCATTGTAGTTTGAAAGTTCACAAATTGGAACAAACTTTCTCAACGAGTAAATCTAAAAAATTACAATGCAGTCTGCAGTGAAATCTTCCAGAAACATGTATATTATTTGACTAGTAAAAGAAGGACGTCGGGATGTGAAACCAAGCTTTGTTAAATCTTGGTGATCAGAAGGGATTTGAAGAATATTAAATTTAAACGCTAGTGTCATCGCGTTAAAATTCCTTATCATAAATCTTCCGTGAAAGTTTTATTAGGAAAGCTGTGTGGCCTTTGGAAAGTTTAGGATAACCAAAAGGACTGTTGTATAGGTTGCGCAAAATTTATGTGATACTTAAATTACAACTTAAATGTTAAATTAGTCATAGCTTTCTATTTCGACCTACAATCGGGTACGTGTTTATGTGATTTAAGGGGGCTAACACCAAGTGTCCTTATCATCCAAACTGATGTACATATTCCAACGTGCATTTATATATATTTTTATGACACGATGATGAAATAGAAAGGACATGCAAATGTTGAGCCAAATAGATCATATATGAAAGCACTCCATAGTAGATGCCTTTGACAGCTTTGGTCTTTAGAATCGGAAGGTCTTGTGGCAATTTTAGAATTTTTGCCAAAAACGTCATAGTTATCAAAAATAATAAAATTTTATAGCACTTTCCGGCAGTAAAATAATTAGTAAAATAAGTGGTTAATTATGAATTTTCCTGGGACTAAAAACCAAACTAAATACGGTTTCCCTTTGAAACCCAGATGCCAACATTTTCTCCATAGCAGCCCCGGTTTAATTTTTAGACCGCACCTGAGCCGTCGACCTCAGCAGATACGACTTGACTAGGAATAAAAAAAGTCCGCATACAAAGCCAGGTTTAAGTGATTTATCGCTACGATAGGAACGCGATCCTTTATCGTAACAAAACATCGTCTAAAACAGGAAAGCTTGACATTCGACCTCTCAACGATCTTTACCTTGTTAGGTGAATTCGCCTTTGTTTTTTTCTTATACAATTTACCATGGACACGGTGGTCACAAACTCCGGTTCCCGTCATTATTTGAACTTATCCCCTAACCACGCCACGTCTACGGGTGTCACCCACGGAACCCTACTGATCAGCCCATCGGTGTTAATCCGCTTTCGTCCATCAGGTTAAGGTCACTCTTGACTTATCCAAGTGTTGACAATCTGATAGATCACCCAGCCTTTGGCTGAGACGAGAAAAACTCCCCGCACGAGGTCCCGTCCTGTCCCGCATTGGCGTGGGAAGGTCGGTTCCACAAACAAGGGATCTGAGTGGATGGTGTCTTGGTTACTAGCAGAGGACCACCAAATTTGTTACAAATGAATTCTGGTTTGTATGGCTCTTGAGCATAACGGCTAAAACACTACCAACTATTTACACTTGGCATGCAAATGAGCACACCTCTAATTCGGCCAATGTTTAAATACGAGCAGTTCGCATCGAAATTTATCGACGAAGAAACGACGTTTCCAAATTTAATCCAACTATAATTCTCGATAGCACTTTTGAAACAGACATGTGTTTTCGAACCAGTAGATTTTTTAATGTATGCACGGCATTGCACCATTTTGTGCACCATATCTTCATTCAATAATTACCACGCATAAGACTGTTCTGCTCTGCGAGTAATCAAAATAGCTACATGTGTAATGAAGAATAAGTAGGATTCCGATCAAATGTTGCATAAAGACTTGCTTTTGGCAGCTATCTATAACAGAGCTTGTTAGGAATATTTAATTAGAACGGACAAATAAACAGTAAATAGATAAAAGGAGCGGGACTTTAACACTTACCACCCTCAGACTGCCGCGTTGACTCGCTTCCAAAATGAGCATGTTTGCTAGTTATTAAGTCGCGCGTAAAAATACAATCGAGTTTCTCAAAAGCCATGGCATGCCTAGTGAAAACCTGCCGGCCTAGCACTTTGGCAAGTCTCTCTTCAGCAAACCTGACACTTCTCGAAGTCTTCGTTATAACAAGGTTGGCGGTTTCGTTGATTAGTAAACTGAGCACATGGTGTGGGAAGTTTCACATAGAAGCACATAGAAGTTGTGTTCGACCACCACTTTAACCACCTGACCAAAACTGATAAAGCTCCCGTAGTCTTTTTCAAAGGAAACTACGCATTTCAAACTTAAGATCCTTTCTAGGACAATTTAGGCTTATTTGAAATAAAATTCCTGTTGGGGATGTCAGCAATACCCAGTGTAATTTAACTAACACTGATTTCTGTGACATCTATTTACTCGGCTCTGTCCACACGATCACAACTCTACGGGCCATGTTGTTCACGATAACAACTTATCACTCAGTGTTAATCACTCAAATCTGAGCATACTTTCGGCCTCGAATTGTACTCAGGCTTTTAGCTGTAACAGTAGAAGCTCTCTGTACGACCTCTCTTTCTGAGGTGGGCTTTGCGTAAGACAAGGGATTTCGAGTTGGTTCCAACGGCATGTGTTCAGGTTATTAGCAAAAACGTAACTGCTTCATCTTCCAATCATCTGACTTCATGCGATCCTACTCTTTTGTGCCATTTGGTGAAATATTGATTAAAATAAGACTGTCAGTATAGTCGTCAATATCAGATTTAAAAATGGGGGTATCCAAGGTTAGCCCTGGAAACGCTGCACCTGAAAACTGCGATCTTGTACTGGCTGAATTTAGTACATAGCCTCATTAATTATTTCATGTACTAACTTTTTCCCATTCAACAAGACTAGTGTCTTCGGTGATGAGCCTGAATTAACAATACATGAAGATTTGTGATAGATGGGCATAAATTTTGAAATACTTTCCGCTTACATCGGGTGATTCGCACAACTTTCATGAGCAGTTGCCACAGTTCAAACGAAGCGTATTCTTCAACTGAGCAAACGAAACTCAGACAGTAATGACTATTAGGCCACATTCGCGAAGTGAAGTAGCATTAGCCGTGCCATTTCAAGCTCGATTAAGGTGCTGTGTAATTTGATTCAATGGACGCAGAGTGTGTTTAGGTATCTGCCTTGAGACCCACACATGGGGGAGCGAAGTCCACGCGAATGATCCGCAGGGTCGCAAAATAATGCGCACGTGGTTCGCAAGACATGCCCGCCGAAAGACCCCATTGTGCTGCTCAAAAGAAAGACGACTCGAATGGAATTGGTTAACATTTAGAACCTGCAGGTATGTGCAGTATCAGCAAAAATTCATGAATGTGAAAGAGTAACTTCAAAGCGGTTTTGCAAAGGCAATTAAAGAGGTCCCTTCCAAAGAAGGAAAGTTGTTGAAACGCAAAAAGCAGTTGTTGTGAGATGAATCGCGTATTGATGGAAGCTCCACTTGAAAAAGTTGTCATTTTTACTTCATTTAGGCATTCGCACAAAACTTTAGAAATGAGCTATTTTAATTGTTCACATGGCAGTGAAGCAAAAGCGCACGTGGGGATAGTTGAGGTGTAGTTTTCGTAGAAATGTGCTCCTTCTTCTTTGTTTTGACTTGAAACTCCACACTTTACTGCGTGACTTCAACTTGGAAAGGACTTCCGGGGATGTGCTGGTCACCCCACATAATGGAAAGCCAGTATTTGCCAACGTCCTCCACGTGATAGCTCACGCAATACCGGTTGCCACCGGTGTGCACGATTTCGAGGCGTTCGCAAGGGCGGGTCGGACCTGTCATGCCCGCTAAGAGCATTGAGTTGCCTACAGGTGAAGTTAAAAAACACTTGTACAATATTGAGATGAAAGGTTCATTCCAACACAACGGCGATCAGGCAAGAGAATTGTTACTGACCAGCTTTGCTTGCATCGATGAAGAACTGGTTAGTCTTTCCGACGAAACCGCGCTTGAGACCAAGACCAGAGCATGTCACGTTTTGTGCGATTCCCTTGGAAATTGTGTCGGTTGCTTCATACGTACAACTGGTCATTGTTTTGGTCGCCGTGTTAAACACAACCGTTGTAGGCTCGACGTCTTCCTGTTTTTGGTCACCCATTGGCGCTCCTGTGATTTTCGCCTGAAATTGTAATGTGGAAAACCAGACGTAGCTATTAACTTGGGTAACAACCTTTGACCACGGTCAAGGTAATCTTGTATCCAGCATTTACTCGTAAATAGTTTATAATGCGCTGAACATGATGCGGTTGATTTCGTGACTGCGATGCTTCGACGCAACTCGACCTTTCCAAACTTACACATGGTTCTACTAGTGCACAGCTGTTGAACGTTCTAAGCTAAAGTGTTGAATAAACACTGAAAATTTAAATGTAACTATTTAGTCATTATAGTATGCAGCATACGACCAAGGGAGCATCAGGAGGGACACTTACGAGGAACGGTGAACCGAAGATGTCGAAATTGCCACCATACTTAATGTTAATCTTGTAATCACCGGGTGCCGTAGGGATGTATGAAAATTCGTAACCATCGTGGCGTTCCTCGCAAATGACTTTCACCTTTGAGGGTCCATCAACAACGACACTCAAAAGACCTTCTCCAGCGTTTGCAGTATTTACGAAAAATTTATTTTTCATTCCTAAAAATTAGAGTGACGTTTAAAGCTAAATTATCGTCCAACAACACCACGCAATAAAAAAAAACAACAAAAATTCTGCCCTTTTTTAAAGTAAAAAGAGGACGTTTGTGGCATATTATGCACAGCTTACGAATCCTTGGATCTGCTTTTCAGAATCAAGGAAATATTGTTGGACTTGGTTAAAATATCTGCTGCATAAATTAAAAACTGTGGTCTCTAGAATCTGACAACGTATGATTAGTTTTCATATAAGTGAGAATGAGTTAATTTGAAATTGCTACCAGTTGCTAAATCAAATCTGTCTCATTAAGCCATGCAATCCAAGTTAGAAATCTGAAATTGTCAATTATTCAAATGCAAAAGACGCTTTCTGCAGAGTTGTGGAGCATTTGAGTGCAACCTGGTAATAATCGAGCAACAAAATGAATGCGTACCAACACAACCGTGGACAAGACCATCACCAGTGGCATAGACAGTGCCGGGGTCAGCCATGTTGTCTCCAACTACAACAGGGAAGGGTGAACCATCAATCTCCCTCGCGTTAGGAGAGCGTACACCGAGATGGATTTCTGACTGGGGAATGAGGAAAACGCGGACAAAGTGGGTGCCACTTTCCCGAGGGATGAATCGGACAACATGCTGGTCCCCATCCAACTTGCACACTGTCGCCTCCTCAACAGTTTTCGATGGCGATTCCACGGTAGCCAGGAGAACGTGGTCGGTATCCAGACAGTGCACAGTAAAGGATACGGGGCCGAGGACCTAGGGATCGTAACAATTTTCGTCATAGAAGCCACATTAAAACAATCAACCATCAACGCGCATTCCCTAAACAAACTGGATCGGAGATATAACTTTAGTAAGGAGAATAAGGTAGCTACCTGGACCGAGTCACGTTCAGAGCGGAGGGCATCAGTGGCTGTGAACTGGATGGGTATTTCATAGGCTTCACTTCGCCCGCCCTCTTTGGGGTCGGAAATGTAAATGTGGAAAGGCGAGAATGGCACGTGTTCGTCTTTGAATTTAATGGAGCAAATATACTCTCCTGGACGGCGCACTTTGTAGAAGACCGTACAGGAGCCATCTTGTTGGTCCTAGGTGAATAAAGTAACTTGAATAAATGGAAAAATGATGTAACCTAGTGTAGCTCAGTTGACCGACGAACATTAAAGCGTAAGCATATTTACTTTGAACGCAGTAGGCGACATTCTACTTAGTGTCCCATAAAATTTTGGGCTAAGATAATAAAAAGGACTTGAGGTTTCAAACGCTGTACTTGAAAACATACGTATCAGTCGTTTCGACATGGTAGTATAGTTCAACGAAGAAGAGTTGTGTTAGATTTTTATCAGCCACTCCGTACTATGGTGAGAAAAGGGTGCCATAACAGGTTTCTTCATCCATCCATAGTAACATATATGTCATTTTCTAAAAACTTGTTTAGGATAAAAGAGAACAGGGGAAGGCATTTGGCATGGAAAGTTTGTTGGCATCTCACCTTGAAAGAAATTTCTGCCTTGCTTGGGCCTTCGATAGCAATTGAAAGGCCACCAGCGCCTGCTTCGCGTGTGTAGATTGAAAATTCGTTCAACTTGTTCACCTCGCCAGATTCCAGACCTCGGCCCGAAACGCGAACCTTGTCCGGCCCGCCTTCTGCAGGCTGACCAACCGTGAATTGGAATGGGCTTCCTAGACAGGTGGCCAGGGGTTGGTTTTAACATTAAATTAGCATTAAGGAAGTATCCCGTGTACACCAAATTGAGGATTGAATGCATCACTGGGAGGTCAAAGAAGGCAAACGTCACAGTAATTGGCAGTGACCGTAATTTCTCCACTCAGGGTTAGATTTAGCTTCTCAGCTGATTACTACACACGTTTAACGGATGAATTGTTGATGCGCTCATACTCGAGGTGGTTAAGCCAGATTCGAGGTTGGGCACGAACGCCAGTTTACCTGGTAAACAAGGCGACACAAGTGCCTGTGCCTTCTTTGCAGCTCGTCATTATGCCTGCCGTTTGACGAGATCACCACGATGTTCGAATAACAGCCTACGTCTGTCACACTATCTGGATCATCCTTTACTTTTCCAATAAATCAGAGACAAAATCCCAAGTATGGTTTCCTTGATCAGATTATTAGCAGAATGCAAGAGACTGCACGAAAAAGTAACAGAAACGGGTTTAGAAATTGACTGAGAAGGCACTAACCTGGAACGTGGACGCCACGGTTAAAAATACTGACGCTGTGACTGCCTGTCTCCTGGGGGACAAAGCGAACAGTGAACTTTTCGTCATCAATCGGCACGATTTCGCACGGAATACGTTTTCCAGACGGCGAATGAACCTCTCCTGTAATCCCTCGTATGTCACCTTAAGATGCGAGAAGCCGGAGTTGAAAGTAAATGTTAGATTTGAGGTTGGAATTGTATTAAAAGCATGGGGTCCATGGGCCCGCCAAAGGTGCTAAGTTAAACTCAAAAATTAAATGAGAGCCGAATTTTGCTAATGCCAAAGTAACTTTCCTTTAGGAAGGTTGTCTGTGCGCAAATAAACGTTAAAACAGTGCAAGGAGGTTTCCAAAGAAGCATTACTGAATCGTTCATGGATTTAGTACGCATCTTTGCTTTGAAGATGGAACTAAGCGAACTGCAAAGATCGGGATAGAGACTGATTCTCCTGCCCATTAAACCAGAACGGTGTTGGCATTTATTGAAATAACAGTATCTGGAAGGCGGAAGGCATGTGAACGCACACTTTTCATAATTTCACTAAATCATGCAACTAAGAGACTCATTGTGAAGGCAAGAATGGGAACCATGCCTGGAATTTTCATGGTGAAATCGCATTTGCTTCCAACTTGAGTCGCCTCGATAGACTGTCGGCTACGGACGATGCGTTGAACCATCCTCTGCGAGGCCTCTCCACCGACATTAATAGTGAAGGGACTGCCGGGCACATGCTGATCGGCGTACTTCACGTTCACGAGGTAAGTTCCTGGCTCAGTGGGGCAGTAGCTCACGGTGCAGGTGCCGTCGCTGTTGTCTGTGCACTCAATCTCCGCCTTGCTTGGGCCTTCTATCGACAAGCTCAGGGTTGCATAACCTATATGCAATAGCAAAGCTCGTTCTAGTACAGCGTTTAGTCAAACGTCCATAATAGCTAGGGCTTTTTAGGTGAAACATTACAAGGAACTAATTAAGCATTTAATGATTGCTGGCTAAAGATAAGAGCAAAGGAAATCCCTTACATGTCATAAATGATTATTCTTTACCCAATTGTAAGATCTGAAGACAACAATTATGAAGGCGATAGGGGTAAACGACAGAATACGTGCAACAGCCTAGTGGTGGAGGAATGACGGAGAGGTGTTCTCTTTCGGGACACCAAAGGCCTCAATGCAATTAAGTTTTTTTGCACTTCAAATAACAGGCAGAGTGTATGGGCATGGCGGAATAAAAGTTCAGTCGACTTGCATCCCTGCCGTCAAACAAGCCTTAAGCAATCACAGTTACTGCTAGAAGTCCTTGGTGGCCATAATAAGGCTGTTAGTGTTTAGTTGGTTGTGTTTGAGGCACCATAATAGGGTTGAATAGGTAGGTGATGCAATTCAGCGTATTTACCAGCGGTTTTACTGTCGACGAGGAATTCGTTGCGTTGGTTCGCCATCGGCTGGACACCCTCGGGCCAAATGACTCGCACCCGGGTGGGATCGCCAACATCTTCAGTGGAAATATTGATGCGGAAAGGACTCTTGGGAATGTGTTTTCCTGCCTTGAATATGTTCACAAGGTGTTCACCGTTTTCTTTGGGAGTGAAAGAAATACCTAAAACGCACAACAAGTCACCGTTTAAATCTCTTTAACTCAACGCAAAATTCAGCACAATACAAATATTTTGAAGTCAGGCGCACAGGGGCACTGAAACTGTTGTGATTTCACGTGCGTCATCTCCTATGACGCAAGTCTAGACATCCCGGCAGTCCGTCCACCTTTAACAGTTCTTGCATCTGTCCACCCCCCTCTGTTTATGAAGCAACATCCGTAAGTTCAAATCACTATGCATTCACACAGACACAAAACCATAACACCACAACCGGGTTTAGCCAATTGATGAACGCGTGCACCACTGTCGCTTTATCCATCCTGGGTTTCGCGGCAAAACGCACGAAAGCAGCGGCTACAGCAGAAACGCAGTTAGTTTTTGATGTGTTTAGAGCACAAGGTCTGAACGATAAAATAACCAAGGCTGCATAGTGATAGTTACTTGTTAACTTCTAACTTACTCAAGGCAACTTGGATAATTCCGAAAGTAATTCAGATTGACTATGACCGTTTTCAATCGTGGATACCTACTCATAATCTATGATATACACCTCCATTTTCAGTATCACAACTTGACAGCATTTTAACATACTTCCGTTGGCCCATAGTCAGGTTTTTTGCCATCCGTCATTGGCACATTTCCCCATCATACCCCAGAGTTGCAGTAAAACGGCAAATTAGACCAGTAAGCCAAGGTCGTTGAAAGATAGTGATGGAAACGTGAAACGATTTTCTTATTAAGTACCTTGATTATCGCGTCTCAAGTTCACTACTCAATTACAGGGGAAAATAACACGTAGAAGGAATTTGAAATTATTAGATTAAATCGACGTTCAAAACCATTTCCTTCAATTTACAGACATAGCAAAATTTGATTAAAAAACAGAATGCGCCAGAGAGGTTGTTTACGCGAAACTGTGATCGGAAATGCGGTAACTTTGAGACAGAAATGACCGAAGCGAACAAAATTAGATGATTTTAGATTGTACACGTTAAGCAAGAAGGTAACCTCTTACCCATTCGATTATTTGGAAGTTTTTTAAGTACACATGGTTCTTCGTGGCCAGAGGGACTCGTCACAGTGGCGGTTAGAAGAGAAATATCCTCGGCCACCGAGTCAAACGAGACACAGCTCATGGAGCTCATATTCATTTGAGTTCTTTTCTTTGGTTCGCCTAAAAAAAGCCGAAGTTGGGAATAACATAAAAAATAGTTACTTTAAAACTAGTTAGTAATGAGATGAAACCCGTGTCTCTCAGTTTTGCTCAATGCATAATTAAAAATATAAAAAAGACCGCTAACCAGTTATCTTTGCAATGAAAGGAGATCCAGAGATGGGCTTGTCCATGAACTTCAGATTGATTGTGTACTCGCCAGGAGCCATTGGATAGTAGGTGACGCGGCAGGTCCCATCGCCGTTGTCAGTGCACGACAGCTCAACTTTTGAGGGTCCCTCCACCGAAATTGACAAACCTCCTGGCATAAGGGAAAGTCGCAAAAGTAGCAAATTAAAATTAATTGCCAAACGATTCCAATTTCACGCCGACTTTATTGAGCCAGCATAATTTGCTTGACAGAGTGAAGAGCAGAGGTCTGGAAGTTATTTTGCCCGGCACAAAATGAAATTAATCCCAGCTGCAGCATCATGCAAATGGTTTGTGGGTTCAATAGGGAAAGCTAATGACGATCACTAAGCAAATCAGATGGCTCAGCATGCAGACACTTACGAGGCTCGTTGGAGGTTACATCTATTTGAGAATTAAGTAACACTTGAAAAAGCACCAACCTGTGACAACTAGTAACAACCGATCAATGATCGTACTTGCACTGTCGCAGTAAGAAATGATCCGCAGAACAGTTTAGGAAACTTAGTGACGCTTTAATGATGGCTGTTTCAGCTTTCGAAAATCAAAGTTTGAGATAAAGAAACTGTGTGCAATTTAGGCAATTTGTGTGTTTTCCTTGCATATACGTCGAAACCTTTCTGCAGAGCAGACAACTCGTCTTTTCTACTTATGTTGCTATATGACCTAGTGGTCAACAGAAATCGACTTAATAGTCTTATAATGGAAATGTGACCCTCAAAGCCTTGAAGCTCTCCAGAAACCACCGAAGCACAGGAGAAAATTGTAGTTGCCTCGCTGACAAACGTGCATTGTCAGGTTGATTGATTGCGTTCGTGATTGGTCAAGCATATATGCATTGTTTTTACTATGAATCCGGTAGATTTGCTTCATCACGCAGCAAATTGCAGTGATCTACTTGTTTGATCAAAACCGGATTAGCCACGATGGGGGTCATGGAGTTATAAAAAGTGAAGCCGTTAATTGACCAGCGCTAGCGGTAGCAAAACATACCAGCGCCGACGTCCTTCATGTCGACAGTGAATTCAGCGGGCTGTCCGGTGACGCCGTGGCTCAGACCAGGTCCATGGGCGATCACATTGCCACTGGCGGCATTGTCCACAAAGAACTTGAATGGGCTGCCCTTTAGTGGCATTCGAACGTCGCAACCAGCGGTTGAAGTAGTCACGTGCAGCTCATGCATGCCACGTTCCTTCGGGCAATAATTAACCGTCACTGTGCCATCGCTGTTCTCCTTTGTTTCCACAGCATCCTGGGCTCCTGAGGGTCTTACTACAACGGCTAGAATGGAAGAAGTGAAATTACTGCTGAGGATTACAAGGTAATAAATGAACGGTGCATTATTTACTGATGCCCGAATTCCTAAGTCAACTTATTGATCGTCAGATCCTAAATATTTACAAATTACCTCAACTACGTGTTATTAAAGGTGCTCATCAATGCTGTAAAGCAGTCAGCAAATGTAATTTTAAATGTCTTAGTTTAATTAATCAAAATGAACATTTACCGTTTGGCTGTAATTGTTCGTGTGCGTTTTTGAAAAATATGACACTGGGTTTAATCCATTTGGTAGGATGGGGGCGGAGCACTCAAAGAAATGGGGCGCAATATGGTGAGAAATCGGTGTGAAAATTGAACCGTTCCTTTGTGCTCAATCATCGATCACATCATAGTGTGGGGCAAGTCTACTTATGACGGAATATATTATAAGCAAAAGCAACCAAGAAAACGGTACTTATATTTTGGAGTACAACTTGGCAGACAATCACGATTTAGAAGCATAGTTTTAACCCAGTTGCCTAAAAACATGAGTCATTAAGCTAATGAAGTACATCTGGTATTGAGTGCCACGGAAAACAAACTATATTGTGTCCAAAATGAACACATTAGGTACCTTGCAGTGACTGATCATCCTTCCCAGATACAACCAAGCGAAAATCGACGGGGTTGTATTGTGCCTGAATCGGAGCCTAAAGAACAGTTAATCGTTTAACAGAATATCACCGCATGTCGGTGGCTAGGAAAAAAACTATTTCTTACCATTTTCACCTCAAGGTCCTCCACAGGAACAGCCTAGAACAAAAGAATTTTTAAACTGACGATGGGAAAATCATTAATTATAAAGTCATGATATAGTCGTCATTAGTCTCTGCCCCCCAAAAGCAATTCGCAACGCGCCTGAAAAGATTTGGATCAAGTTTCTTTGCACGAATCCCCTTGACCGTCACTAAGACTGTACACGGGGGAAGATTAAGAGAACGAAAAACCTGCCTCCTGGGTGAATTTTCCGTCGGGGATAAGCTGGCCACCGAACCTCAGCTCGACCTGAACCTCTCCAGGTTCCGTGGGAGTGAAGTAGGCAGTGGTTGTGCCATCCCCATTGTCCTCAACTTCGACGGGCAAATCGATGCGTTTCTCGCCCGCGACGAGGGTAGCACGACACATGAGGTTGCCTGGACCCGCCTTCCCCTTCTGCACCGTCACGCACGTCTCATCACCAACGGCGATGCGCGGCTTCACCTCACCTAAGTGAGAAAATCGTGTCGGTTTTTCCGGTCAACGGATGCAAGTGAACAATCCCCTACGCACTTTCCGTTTCTCAGTAACCATGCTCCTGCCCGTGTGACGATGAAATATGTCATTTACGCATCCCACACCAACTCTTGATCCAGGTTAGTGCCAAATAAGTAAGCTGTGGTAACCTCTTCCATTCTACCCGATAACCGCACACAGTTTAGCAGATGACTTAGATTCTCCTGACCCTTAGGATGCCACCACGTGGTTTGTGCTTTGTTCTATGACAAACGTTGCAAAAAGTTCAAGAAAACCACAAAAAATCCGATAATATTGCAACATTTAAAGCTACTTATAGCTGTTTATGGAGAACACAAATTAATATTTCGACACGGACTGACCAGGAATAACCAAAAGGGTTAATTTCAAAATCATTAAATTGAAAAACAGTTAGTAGGAAATAAACAATGGTGCTGTTCGCACATAAAACATGCTTTTAATTATAAAGGCAGATTAAACAAGAAACAAATGGTTTAATCAGACAAACTGAACTCTGTTTGAATAACAACTGAGCCTATGGCTCTCATGATGTTTAGCAAACAGCCCCCGCTCCGCTACTTTTCATATTTTTGACTTTGTCGTTTTTGATAAAAAAATAACATTGAAGGATGTAGCATCAGAACTGATTCTGCATTTATTTACACCTTGGCCATTGGTTGCAAGGTCGTGTAATGAAGTGGTTTTACATTGACTCGTAATGTATAATAATAAAAATTGGAGTTTGGTTATATTTGGGCCATGTAGCAGGTGAAACAAATGATGTAATGTTGTGATTACAAAACGAATGCCTCCTTAGCCTTCGAGAAACCACAAGGTGTTGCCTTGTGTGTGTATGTGAAATTGGGGACGCAGGACATAGGCAGGGAATCCAACGGAACGAACTCTGCTAGGACAGTCAAATAAGACAGATTCTGGTGCCAAACCGGTGTATGCTAATGTTGCTTTTGAGCAAATATTGTGAATTGTGACGATTTCCATGGTTCCAGGCAGTGGAATGGTGCCTAGTACAAAACTTTTTGGCATTGAGGAAGTGATGTGTAGGTAGTGGGACGAAAGCAACTGGCCACAAAGTCTTTCCTATGTCATCGCATTTAACATAAATTCACGCGGGTACTTATTGGTAAAAGCAGGATTCGGCAGTCAGAAGGCTTCACACATGAAGGGAATGCTTAACGGTTTTAAGATTGCTTCAAGTCATTTTGGAGAAAAAAATGCAAAGTATCTAAATGGGATTATAGAATGCAGAAGCGCATTAACTGAGCGTCGGAGACACATTAATTGGATGTTCATGTAGTGTGATAAGTAACCAATTTTTAGGTTTAATAATAACAGCTTTAATTCATTGTATCATTTGATTTACATGTCACGCATCGGAACTAAGCCGCCTTAATCACGACCTTTGGTACAGAAGCGAAATGCAACCCGCCTTAGAACTGAGGTGTGTGATTGCTAAACAACTCCACTCCAAATGAATTTGGTACCATGTGGCAGTTCGTTGCGTTTTTGTGCTTAACTCAAGCGTGCTTGAAGTAGCCAAAACACTTCAAACGCAGCTACTTCACACGAGAGCACTACTGCATACCAAAACATGTAACAAGCTCCGCAAGGATATTCACAGTTTAACAACGACACGTAAACTGAGAAAAGAGGCTGCAGTTCGCGGTAAAAAAGTACACGAGTAGCTCGCTCCCATACTATCCTTCATTAGTGACTCAAAAAAGAAATTCAAAACAAATATCTTGTAGGAAATCGTGTATCGCATACATTAAAACCGTTAGACGGGGATAAGGAGCTATTTTTTATTGAGCGTCGAGTTATTCGAGATACATTTGTATTTATAATGTTCAATCCTAGAATTTAAGGTAACACTAAGTAGCTGACCGGAGCCAAATACGCATATTTAAAAAAAAAACACGGAATCAACACAAATATTTCAGTTTTATAAACACTAAAGGGGCATCTCCCAGACAAATCAAAATGCGTTGAAAGACTAGAGCTAAATTCATTGTTCTTGTTGTCACCGCAGTTTCATTAGTTGCAAACATTTTATTTACTAGACCAGCGGGTTCTTTTGAGTTTTGAATGTGGGAAGAAACTAAGGCAGGGAATGCTAGACAGCTTTAAGCAAACAAATAATCCATCTGAAGGCAACTTTCGTGTGCACCTACGCAAGTGTTAGGGAAAAATGAGCAGAAGCAAGTCTGGGTTTTCACAGTTTTAAACATCTTGAGGGGAGCCATGGGTGCAAATTTAGAAGACTTTCATTCTCTGAAACCTCACCTCCAGATAATGCTAACAAGCAATTGATTTTGCACACAGCAGCCACAATTTCACTGTCTAGCTTTTCAGAAACGGAGCTAAAGCTTATCCAGGTGCGCTGGCTCACACACCGAGAGAGCGCCAGCGGAGCATTGATGAGCTATGCGGGTGTGCTGTGCCACGCAGCACTAAGTGGTGACTAGTTAGAAAAACACACGCCTAGTCTTAAGTTCACGGGAACCTTGAGTTATGTTATGGTTATTTAGGCAAAAATCAGTAATTTAGCACAATACCCAACATAGTAAGCTTGCCTTTAAACGAATATTTGAATAATTGTGAATTAAGTGTGCACGTAGGACAACATAAATACATTCACAAAAACACTAGTGGCAGCCGAGCAAATTGTTTGTACGCAATAAAATCCATTTTTTTATTACGAAATGACCAACTTAGACAATGCACTCAAAAGCCGCTGCGAGGTAGCTATAAATAAATACCTGTCCCTTTTATAAACAACAATTATGACTGCTGATTTCGCTAGCACTACAGTAGACAATCCAACAGTTGTCATCATTTGTGCCTTACTCAGGCTAGCTTTTACGCAATATTGGTTCAACTGAAGCACAACTTACTAGTGATCTCACACAGATCTGCACGGCCCACAGGTACGGATTCGAAGACAAATGGACTTTCGGGGATCTCAGTGCCAGCGTACATAACATGTATCTTGTGTTCACCAACAATGAAGGGCTCGTAAGTGCAGGCCAAAAGTCCTGTGTCGTTCGGTGTCTCGGTAGGCTGGATTGATTTCCTTTGGAAGGGAGCGGTGTTCGCTTGCTGGAGCTCCTCTGGCGTTATAGGGATAACGCTAATTGGCAAACTGTGGCCGACAGGATCCTAAAACATTAGCCATCCTTCTCAACAAGTGTCAAGGGGTTCATTACAAGGCTAACTTTGCTGTACAACAACTGGTTGGTTAGATGTGATTAGTAGTTTAAGCTGCTATCTTCACGTATCCAGTATATTTTTTACATTACAAATTATTAAATTTCAAGCTGCAGTGGTGGCCAAACCCATGAACAAAGAATCACCAACCGATGCACACCAAGGTAACCACCTGAGTACGGAACTGAAGCCAGTTTATGCAAACACTACCGTAAGTAAAATTCTATATCGTTATACTAAAACACCCCTCTGCTTCGCTTCTCAAAAATGTTCATAAATTCACGAAAGGTAAAAACTGCAGTTTACCGTGACAAAAGCGTTTCAACTTATTCTTGAGCCAAGTTATGGGTTAGGTTATGGGCTGAAAATGTTAGGATTTACAGAACAGGGACATAAGAAGATTAGGTCATAAATCTGTAAAGGTATGTGTAGAAGAACGTGGAAGAGGAGGTGATGGGACAATATTTTCACGCTAGACAGCCTTTAACCTCAGATTTCCTTGATGTTACCATTAGAAGTGGTAGTGACCGTCATTTGGCGACACGTTGAATCGAGGGGACACTAAACACATGAGGGCAAGCAAATACCCTGTGTGTCTTTAAGAACATAGGCCGATTGAGAAGATTGCAGCTTCGAAATATCACAGGTGATGGAAGCGGAATTAGAAAGAGCACAGAGTCGAAATAACTTATGTTGAGTCAATGCAGTAAATCACGCTTTGTTACGATTTTGAAGAAGTGATCTGAAATTATCTATTTACTATCCAAAAGTTTCTTCGTATACCAACCGTAATCGAAAGTATCTAACATACCATAACGTCGAGTTGCAAATCACCATGGCCAGCGTCGGTAGCATCAACCGTGAATGTAGATGGCATGCTGGCCTGCACTGGTCCACGGATGCCAGCGCCTCCGATACGCACCTTTTCGGGTTCGGTTGTTGGCCTAACGGGTATGATGAAGGGAGATCCCATAACAGGCATTCCCTCACAGGTGACATCCACCTGGCAGGGTCCAACTGCCTGCGGGACGTACGTACATTCGTAGAGACCAGGCTGATTTGGCACTGCGTCCACAGAAGCAGGGACTGGTGCAGCTCCGGGGACTGGTGTAAATGTTGCCTATAAAGCATTTCAAGTTGGCACTTGCCTCGCACGTGGTACTGACAATTTCACAGTGTTAGGATTCGAATAATCACGATGGGGGTGGGTGATCTCTAGGTAAGTACTTAGGACGTCTAGAGCATTGTGAAAGTCATTATAGCACCACTTAAAAATAACTTGGGACGTTTTTTTTAAACATTATGCTATAAGAGTTGGCTTGAAGCGTCAAAAAAGAAGTCCGGTGTATCATTGTGGATGTTGTTGAGTTACAGTTTGCTAAACCGTTGGAGGCTTTCCTCAATTTTTTTAAATAAAGTTAATTGTCCGTAATTTTTTTGCAGCTCTTAGTTCGGGAATAATTTTAACATGGAATAGAAAAGGTGACTTTGGTCAACTTTTAACTGAGCCAGAGAGCTTAGGCTGGCACAGTCGGTCAAACTCAATGGAACCATCCTATTTTTCATTTGAAAAGTTCATGTTCCACAATAACATCAATGGAAACGATTATGGTCCGAGCGGAATAAACCCACACAAACCGCATCAAAGGCTGCTAAATTGCATCAAACAAAGACCATGCCGTCAAATATATGTGGTTACAAAGGCCTTGCGCATTTCGTGCAATTGTACCGCGCACAGAGCATTTTGATGTCGTTTTCTAGGATTCCGATGGAACTACACGCTGGCCGGGTGAGTTGACGCAGGTGGCTGGGCAAATGGAAAAAGGTACCTCAATCGGAGCATTGCCCGCCTGGCTTGTGTCCGCCATGAAGGTTGCAGGGATGGAGGCGCGGACCTTGTTCGGTTCCAATCCAGGTCCAAAGCAACGCACCTTGCTAACATCCGCATCGCCCTGAATTCTCACATGGAATGGGCTCACTAAAATGAAAAGGCACCTCATAAAGTAAAACGTAAGGTTGAACATTTTTACAGTTACAACTACTCGAGGATGCTCATCACATGGGTTATTTTTCCTAGCGATTCATCGCAATCTTTTTTTGGGACAAAATACTCCAATTTAGACGTCACGCGATATCCCTGTGCAGTAATTAAAGCTAGCTTTTTTCATTGACTTAAAATACTGAACAGCCGCTGACGTGGATCAGCTACAGCAATGAATTACTGCCGTATGCTATTGAGTCTTGCATGGTAATGAGCACAGACGCCCATAAGTGAGTGCCAATGAAAGGTCTGCACTGAATTAATGAAGACATGATTAACACCTAGTTACACGAGGCCGCATAACCGGTGTTGGAACTGGCGCGAGCCGTGCTTACGTTGGTACTTGCAAGTGCCTGTGATGCGCGGCAGCGGGAGAGCACCCACACAAGCACAAATAGGCTTATACACGTAACTGCAGCAATTCATGAGTCACGCCGACCCAGAATCGGTCCGTGTTTGTCGTGGCACAGGCAACTCCTCTGTGTGACGCAAAGTTGCGCCGACATTTACACACACACACACATACTTCATTACAAATGCAACACAAACCTTCGCATCACGTAACATTGTCAAACGGCGCGGTTTCAAGAAAGCAAGCCATGTGCTTTCTTTAAGATGCTGAAGGCAATGCTTTTACAAAACTCAAGCTCCAATCTTTTTCTAAAACTCACAAAATTAATCAATAACCCATAAGCAATACTGTCCATTTATCAAGATTGGAAGATTTAGTGCATCAAATAAGTTGGGAAGGACAAACACGAAAGAAGTTACACCAGGTTATGCTGTATGTTTTCCAATAAAACGTCGGCAGGAATGGAGGATTGGTGCTCCAAAACTTTTTTACGCATGAACGAAAAAATATAACTAACACTCATGTGGTGTCATTAAAACAGCCTCTGCCGGCGGCTTCCACGACACCTTCTTTGACATTTGAGTTGCCAATCCACAAACAGAGTAATTAATTGCCGATCTTAATAACGCCCACAGGCATGAGCACCAAGCCCTTCGAGAGGTACTTTTCTGGATGATATTAAAAACTCACTTGCCCGAATTCCACGCAGTGGATGGACCAGCTTATACAAACGAATGCTATTTTACTTTTATTAAGGAAACATTATCTTACATTTCTGGTCTATCATTCTTAATTTCAATTAATTGAATGGGAAGATTTACTAGAAAAAAATTTGATTTACTATGCAAAGCCCTCACTTAGGTAATTCGCAATAACACCACTTGGTTGTATGGCCATGATTAAATACAATAAGTCTAAATTGGCTCTGATTTGTTCTGTTGCACCGAGGATTTCAATATAGCATCTTGTTGCCGAATTAGGAATATTATAAGTTGATGCTTTCGTTTGTAGCCAAACTTTCGGCTAAAATAGAGATACTTACTTGGTATTTCGACGTCGTTGAACTTGAGGTGGATGTCATGCGAGCCAGCCATGCTAGGTGTATACTCCACGGTGCAGGTGCCGTCTTTGTTGTCAATGCAGTTGATGGCTGCATCAGCGGGACCCTCGATAGACAGACCGAGGCCGCCCTTTCCTGCGCCATTCATGTCGACGGTGAATTCAGTCTTGACATTCGGCCTGAGGTGTGGACCGGAGGCTTCGAGGCCAGGGCCATATGCTCGAACCCGGGAAGCATCAAACCCAGAAGACACATCCACCATAAAGGGACTGCTTGGGATTTGCACACCGCCATAAGAAACCTCAATAGCATGTTGGCCTAAAGAGGAAAACGAAAGATTGGACTCAATTCAGAGGCCGTAAACTAAAGCACCTGCTACAATCTCTTATTGTTCGAATGTTGTTCTACCACATGAAGATATTGGCCTTTAAAACGCGCCAAGAAGTGTTCCAGGTTACTCATGAGCAAAGATAAAGGCTTACAAGACCAGGTTCCCACAGTTAAAATCTTCTGAGGAAGGAAAAATCAGAACAAAAGTAGTATTTACCAACTAAGAATTTACCTACTTCTACGATTTGACGTTATGTGTAGTAAGTGCCGTGGAAAGCCTAACATTCCACGTTTACAAATTAGGTTAATTAACATAATAGTAAACTTGATTTCTGTGTTAATTTTAGATCCTACTAAATAATTGCAACAACCAGAACATATAGTCTTACCTTCCATTATAGTCGAGTAAGTCACTAGATAGGTTCCGTCGTGGTTGTTCACAACGTTTGACGCAAAACGCCTACCGTCAGGGGCCTTGACAATAGCGCTGACCGGCTCCTGTCCAACAGTGTCGATTTCCCGCGCGTCGACAATAAACTTCGTCAGACAGTCCTTGAAGACACCTAAAGTAGAGAAAACGTAGGATTCGTTAATGGTCCACAGATTCATTGAATTCGGATGGAAATGACGCCAGCGTCTTTCATGCATTAAACCATGCAAACGATTCGTGGCATGCCCCCATAAGGACGAACCCTTTGGCTGCAGTCCAGGTCCGTAAGCCTTGATCTTGTCCACATTAAGATCTGCTTTGCCAGCAGGGTAGGCTTGAACTACAAAGGGACTACCCGAAATATGCTTCTTTCCATCAAAGAGCACGTTTATTGTGTAGACTCCAGCGACAGGAGGAGTGTAGGTAACCCCGCAAGTCTTGTTGCCCTTGTCCGTGCAAGTCACCTTAGGTTGTTGCGGGCCCTCGATAGTAACACTGAGCGGACCGGGTGTTGATTTGGTGCTGTCGATTGTAAATTCAGCGGGCACAGTGGCCATAGCTTTCTCTAGTCCAGGTCCATAGGCCGTGACTTTACCAGCCGGTTCGTCTGCACTAGGCTGTGGCCACTTACTGTTTTGGATGGCCTCTTCCTATTAATGAATAAGTAGTATCCGCTGTTAAACCAGTTCCGGTGAGAGGCCATTCATGCAGTGCAGATGCTTTGCATTGGATTCTAAAGCTCGGTTTCAAAGGCAACAACTTCAGGCCAAGGTAAAGCAACGTTCAAGCATGCTCTAAACCACCAGCCTGCATGCATGAAATACCTTTTCACTAGGCAAAATAGGTGGCCGTGGCTGCCCATACTGCCCCGGGCCAGCAAGAAGCGGATCCGGCTGATACTGTCCTTGTTGAAGTTTAGGTTGCATAGCTTGAACCCTGCCTACCTCCTGAGCAGTTACACGTGGTACTTGCTCAGACCCACACGCCTGGCCCACTGGACGAGCATTGGGTCCGGGTGACTGAAATGCCGGTCCCATTTTCTGGCCACTGGGCAGTTCTCCATCTGGCTTTCTGGCTTGGCCAAAGGCCTGCTGTCCTGGTTGCGTCTGGAGGGGAGCGTTTGTTTGCAGTGGCACAATGTTTTCCACGGCGTTTTCCGGTTTTGCAACTTTTGCCTGGACTGGGGCTTGTAAGGGACAAGTTTCAGCGGTTCTCTTGACTGGAGCGGACATTTGAGGCGATACCAACTGAAGTGGAGCAAGAGTTCCCGTGTACAATGGTGTGGGTTCCTTTAAGGTCCCGGACTTTAGCAGAGCAGTATTATGGGCAGCAATCAGTGGAACAATTGGTCTACCAGGCACTGTAACTGGCACATCAACAGCAGCGGGTTGGCTCGCATTAAGTGGAACTTGTTGAGATGACGGAAGTGCTTCAACTTTAAAGGGGCCGGCGGCAGGGTACTTGTCGAATACGATTTGAACAGTATATTCACCAGCTTGTGTAAGGGTGTAATTAACGTCGAAACCATGAGGGGCTTTCTTTACAGTGCAAGGAATCGTTCCTGATGAACCCCGTGGTTTGATGAGCACAGTGGGGATTTTGTTCAACACAGGTGTACCACCCGTATCAATCGTGAACTGCTGTGGGACGTTGACATTAACTTCTGAAAGGATGGATAGGGTATGGGAGATAAGAAGAAATTACATAATTGTGTTGACTTAAAATGGAAGGTAAGCGAATTTGAATACTTACTGTTGTTCAGACCAGTGACCTTTAGTTTTGAAATGTCAAACTCTGGACTAACAGGCACCACATAGGGACTCTGGGCGATTTGGCTGCCGGCGACAAGTACAGAGATACAAAGTGCAGATGAGTTTTCAGGGGCTGTGTATTCGATTCGGTAGGTACCGTTTTGGTTATCAATAACTTTGGGAACGACAACATTCCCGTCTTCTCCCGTGATGTGGAAGACAGTTTCAGAAATGATACTTTTTTGGCTAGAAGATTGTGGTAGGCTAGTGAGATCCATTGTGAAGTGTGTCGGTGTCTTGACTTTCGCAGATTCCAGTCCAGGTCCGAAAAGTTTGATTCCACTGTAGATTGCATCAAGGCCAACAGGGACCTGTAAGACAAATAATAAATTAAACTTACCAAGATCCCCAGAACTTTATGGTACTATTTGAAACAGGCTACATTGTTTGCTTCTTTGAAATGGAAAGTATTCGGCACATACCCGAGTTCCAGACTGCTGCAGACACTGGCCATCAATGGCCATATGGATGGTGACGGTGCCAATGGTCTTAGGTGTGTATTTGAAGTTAAATTTGCCGGTTGAGACTTCCGAAACTTCAAGTGGGATGATCTCGCAAAACGAGTCACGACATTCAACAAAGAGCAAGTCCTTGGGTGCAATATTTTTCTTGCTGGCGACTTGCAAAACCGTCGACATCACTTGCGTAAGGTCAATCGTAAAATCTGTTTGGACACCCTTTATTACATCGCCAGGGGTTCGACTGATACCCTTTCCAAAAACGTCAATCTGAAATGGATATTTCAACACTTGGCATAACGCAACCAGCACTATTATATTCCAAATTAGCCCGTTATATAGGACCATAAAATGAGAATTTAAAAAAAATACTTTAATCAAGACAAACTGTTACTTGTTTAGTTTTTAATCTCGAAAAAATTGGTTCAACATTATAAGAGCATATTGTGCAAATCTCGTATATAAGACAAAGAGAACCATGTCAAAATTTTCAAGATGCTAAATTGCACCAAAATTACACATTAAATACATTGAATGGGTGATGAATATCACGTCATTAATGACTATAAATGACATTTAATTTTAAGTGTGATTTTAATCGAATAGGTGAGAATCAGAAGGTAGAGGTATAAACTTTGGCCTGAATTTAAATGAATGCGTAAGACTGCGTCCCTACCTCGAAACTTAGGGATGCAGTCTTCATTGCATTTTGTAAGATCATCACACGATTTAATGCTTCACAATAGCGACATGTTTCGAAAATGAAATACAGTTCAACAATATTTTAACAAGTACAGTTTTTTTACGTAGCAAAGAACGCAGGCTGAAACGAAGGCAAATAGAAACAGTAAGTTTCTCTTACTCTTTTAACGTCAATACCGGAGGGTTCCTCGATCATTGCCATGAACGGTGATCCTTGGATGTCCTCGTCGTCGCAGGTTACGTGGATTGCATACTCACCAGGAAGGGCAACTTGGTAAGAAATTTCGGCGGAGGTATCGCCATTGTCTACACAATTGATTGTGGCCGAACTTGGTCCCTCAATCAAGAAACCTGCCGAGACAAATCAGACGTGCAAACATCGATTGGCTCGCAGCTGCACTGAGCAAAATAGGGACACGCAGTCCCTGGTCATGCCAAGCAGGCGTCATTTAAAAACAACGACGGTGATTAAATGGTTACCTCAGCAACACTAGAATAACAAATGGCTACCTTTTAGCATTTTTCAATTTTTTTTACAGAATAACGTGCTAACGCCAATCACAGTGTGTAAAGCAATCTGACTTGCTTATTCGAGCGTGCTTGTCGTCATCAAGCCTCTTTTTGTTTCCAGATTACTCTGAGGCCGAATTTCGCCGCAAAAAGTTCAGTTGTTTTGTTATACAATGAACACCAAGATTAAATTGCCAATGCAATATATTTTCTAAATGAAGGAATGCAAACCATTTCATTTACTTTACCGAATTCGGCACCTTCCGTCGGTATCTGCATCTATGGGTCAAAATCTCTCACACCGCCTAGAGATTTCAAATGACTTGAGCATTTACACACGGCTCCTACAAACTAAACGGTCAACACGTTTTTACAATGAACTCCTGGTTGGAACTGTTAACAGATGACATGAAGTCAATGACGTTTTCTGGATGACCCATTAGAATTCATGACATTTGTTGCTACTTTAAAAGTAGGTCAGGACACTAGCTGCTGTATCCTAAGTTTTACAATTTGAGTCCTGTTGGATAAAAAAATTACCTTGTGTATAACAACGGACTTAGTTCACCCCAACTTTATTGCTGATCAAAGGAATATCATTTTGCTAGCTACACAACAAGGCTATTCCCCAATAGTTGGAGATGCTAGGATTCCCATAATAGGTGACTCACACTACTTTTTGAAAAGAGGCTCGAATGTTATGCACAAAATTCTGATGCTAAAGCCGATGGAAAATTAAGCTGCTGTGGAAGCGGTTAAGTGGAACGAACATTTTATTCAAGAGGTACGTTATGGTTTCGCAAAGGTCGCTGACCTCAAATTACCTGCAAAACGTTTTCGTGTTTGCGCTCACACAAGCTATTTGGTATGCAAGCTACTATTCTCGGAAATACGTATTTTCACACCTCATCATTGGTTTTTCTATTAATTTAAATATTTCCCCCATTCGTTCATTTGGATAGTTGACGACATAAAAAGATCCTGTGTAGCAGGTTTGGTTCAAACCCATTTCATTTTAAAGTTCAAAGGGTTTAATTGGGGGAAATCCAAAGCCAACCGCCAACTCAAAGGACATTTTTAACACCAGACAAGACTTTTTATTACCTTAACTGTGGTGAAATAATGCCTTTCTTTATAACTCAGTGGGTCAGATCATGAATTTGTTGGACGCCCGAACGAGTACATGTTGAAATTAATTTAATTTACTTTATAAAAGGGTGTGGTGGACTTTGGATCATTTGGATTATAACAGTTAGAACGTTTACCTCTGAATATAGTCAGAATTCAGGACCAACTCTTGTGCGTGAAAATTTGCTGTTGTTATAAGTTCGAAGCGCATCACATCCATCTCAGTTGCGTAGCGTTATCTCTTCACACCGAAAATCCAACTAAGAAGATGGATTTTACCCCTCACTTATGCTCGACTGTTGACTCATTTCATGATTTTGCCAAAAAAGATCTAGTTCCATAAAAAACCCAAACTGTACAAAAAATTCATTAGCCACGTCAATGAAGTCCACCGATGTGCGGATGGACTCTGCATAACTTATCACCAATCCATCTTTAACCATCTAGAAAGTCATTTACAGTCTATGGTATTCAGAAAAAAACCAAGTTAATGAGATAAATAAGACTTTTCACCTACCAAGAGCTCCGGCCTCGTCATTTGAAACAACAGTGAACAAATTAGGCGTTTTCACGACTCCCTTTGACAGCCCTGGACCAAACGCGCGTATCTTTGATTGTTTGTGAGGACCCACAATGATCTGCTCAAACAAAATCAACTTTTGTGAAACATTTGGCTCATTTTATTGAGCTTTTAAAAGGATTGCAAATATTACCTTAAATGGTGCATTTTTGATGTTTTCACCAGCGTAAGTAACAACAAGTGTATACTGTCCAGGACGCTGAGGCGTGTACGTACAGTTGTAGAGATGATTAGAAGACTTAACCACTTGGACTGGTTCTACTTGACCGTCTGAAATACAAAGTAGGACTCTAAACTGTCATGCGATTAGTACATAAATGCCTTCATACGGTAGCCGAATTACCAGGACGCTTCAACTGAACAAACAACTCTCCAGGTCCGCCGGCGCGCTCTGTGTGGATCTGGAATTCGACAACGTCTGAAACCCGAATGCCCTTTTCTCGCACTCCACGGCCGGTTGCGTACACGAGGCTGGGATTGCAGGCTTAAGTGAAAAGGGAAGCGAAATTAAGAAAGCAGGAATGTGGTTTAAACATGCCCTGTGCATGCATGCTTTCTTCTGTTTTGCATGCAGGTCACCTGGAGTTGCGGTAGGAGCCACCAATGGCATTTTGGCCCCGGAACCAGCGGGTCCCAAAGGCTGTCCTGAAGGGGTGCTCTGGGGTGGGGCGGTCTTCGGTTCGATGACACCCTGACCAGGACCTTTTGCTTCTGCAGGATTAAAAGGCATGGTGGCCGCACCAGCCTGTGGTGCGGGAGGTTGACCTGGGGCGTTCACAGGGGTGAAAGGCAATGTTGCCCCGGAACCAGGTGGCTTTGGCTCTTTCGTGACAGGGCGCTGACTCTTTAGAGCCTCAGCAACTTGGAGATTCGCTAGAGCCGCTGCTACAGCACCACCGAAAAACTTTGTTGAAGGCTGCGCAATCATTGAATTATGGGCATGCGCCAATGACCATGCTTTGTCGCATAGCACTATCATGGGCTCGCCACAGATTTGATGACGAAAGTTGATAAAACGGTAAAACTGATGTGCTGTTTTTAACAAGATTGGAAACCGAGACTTTTACATTCTGTCAAGCATTACAATGAATCCTTTAAAGAAGTGACAAAATGTTTGTGTTTAATTGAAGCTGCCTTCATCTTGTCAAAATGTTCACACTGCTAGCCAAATAGCATGCTTCAAAAGCGAAAACATATCGAAATATGAATGAATGGATCACTTGCACTTGGACACAAAATGATGCTGCTACCAGATTAAATACAGCTAAACCTCGGCCGCCATGCGAACCTGCAAGCCAGATGCGTCCTGCGCTTACCTTTTCCGGATTCACCTAATGCCATTGAAGTAAATATGCTTAAACGACTCAGAAAAAAACCGCAGTAATTTTGATGCAAACTTACGAGGGCCAACGTTAACAGGGAAAGGCGAGTTTGGAATAGTCTGCCCAGCAAAGAGGACTTCGACCTTGTGTGGGCCCTCAATTTTTGGTGTGTACTCAACGAGGAAAGGACCATCACTATCGGCACGAGTGATGCGAGGCTTGATTGTGTCCTTCCTGCCATTGGAATCAACAACCTCACAGGCAACAAGACCAGCACCGGCATCTGCAAAAATATGATATCAAGGTGATAAGACAGCTCGAAGAGTGTAGCAAGTCAGGGCAGCATCGCAGCGCACCTTGAGTAAAAACGTTAAAGAAAGTTCGTCGACCGACACAGTTGCCACCATTCAACTCGATGCCAGGACCAGAAACTTTGACTTTTTTGGGGTCTCCTGGAGCTCCTTCAACGTTGACTAGGAACGGGGAATTCGGAACATCCTTTCCGGCGTATTTGATAATGACACGATACTGACCCTCTGATTTTGGTACGTAGCTGCAAGAATATGTGAGGTTCCTGTCCTCATTTTTGACGATTTCGCACTACATTAACGAAAAATGATAAATGATTACTCCTTCCAAAATTTATCACGCAAGAAGACATGCACTTTTGAATTTTTATTTTGATTGACACCTTTAGCTGATAAAACCTTCAATCAACATTATCATTTACTCGTGTTCAAATCACAATAGTATGAGTTACGAGTGCCAAAAAGATAATTGCCAATATATTTTTTAATAAAAGAGAAAACATCCAACAAGTGCATAAGTTCGCAGAAGTAGAAAGCGTCTTTTTGCAATCTTACTGCGTTGTGGGAAGTAAGGAACCGAAAAGGCAAATAATTAAGACAGAAACTACTACTACTATCAATCTTCGCTGAGGTAAATGACTACCTAGTTATACAATGACGTAAAATAATCAAATTGTGTCAAGATTGTCCGTAAAACCAATTCACTAAAGTTGTGGGAAGCGTTAAATTTTACGGCATCTATTTGTGCAAATCGTACATGGTCCTAACTTTTACGAACGATGGTTAAGAATAATTTACCAATCATTCGGCGTTACTTTAGAGACGACAGATTCCCAATCCTATGAAAAAGTTTAGAAAAAATTGGTTTTCCATTAGGCAGCAGAATCATTGTAGGCATTAAGAATTCCGTTACAGCCAAAACGTTTCGTGCCTCAGCAAAATTCACAGACAAAACCTGCTGATTATCATTAAAAACTGCAACCTCAGGTTCTTAGATACGTTGCACTTACGGGGATCGTTGAACCTCCAGTAGTGAGGACAATGACTTCGAGGTTAGCGCGGCCAGCAGCAAAAGTCTCAACGGTAAACCTGGCTGTTGAGTTTACTGTATTCCCTCTCTCTTCAAGTCCTTTAAAATAAAGAAATTTAGTCAATAAGCACTACTGCTATTAATACTGTTAAAAAACCAAGCGAAAAAATAAGTGCAACAGATCAATTGATTTAGCACCAAATCCTTTTTTGGATTGTCTATAACTAACCTGTGGGATTAAGAGATTTATCTTCAAACTGTTAATACACTTTTAAAATATGGCCTCAATTGCTAGAAAACACGAAAATTTCTACTTATCACATCATTGCTTATTACACTATTATTTTCCCAAGCTATTTTATTAGATCTTTTGCCATAATAGATGTGAAGAGGTCACTTCTAAATCACTGAATTAAATTCTTATAACATTACTAGGGTACCCGGTAATGTTGATGTCTTGAAATATCATTTTTTGTCACCATAAAAATTTCGATAGTTGAAAATTTTTACTCAATGACAACTGCTTAATAAATTGCTGATGATAAAATCATAAACCAAATATTACAAACAAAATTTACGTTACACCACAAAATCAGTCTAAGTATTCATGTTAAAAATGGCGTGTTTAAACCAAAAATGACCTAGGTAATCCCCAAACAACGTTATGACCTTGGGATAAAAAGATTTAAAATATTGGCAACTTTAATCTACTTAAAAGGATGCTGCCCTAGCAGCTGCTCTAAACGGTAGCGCCCTTATGACTGCCTCCTTCAGTGCGGCCAATTAAAATTCTGAAAAATATTGTGATATGCACTAAAACCCAAAACTCAGGGTAACATTTGATTTCACTTCCAGTAATTTATATGTACGTGCATGCATAAACGAAGCAAGGCCAGATATATCAGACTTACCTGGACCATAAGCACGAACACGAGCTGGGTTGATTTTGGGGCGGAGTGGAGCTCCTTCCTTCAGCTTAGCATTAGGGAATTGGCTAAGGTAAGTCATCATTGCCTTTTCATCCACTTTTGGATCAATCATTTCTTCCGGTCGGATCAACATGGGCACATCGAGCCAGTCTTGTGCAGCAGTCATTGCTTCTGTAGCATTTTGCAACGGACTTCTTGAACCCCATGTATCCCAGTCGGGACACAGGCCCGGAGCACATGCATCGATAAGTGCAGCAATCGCAGTTCCATCATTCCAATCTGTTGTCAAATTTTTTACTGGACGGTCAGGCATTTTGGAGTTTGTCCAAGCAAGTATACGCTGTTTTGGCGAAGGGCCTTTGCCTTTGGGATCCTACAAATAATGGATGATTAGGACAAATGTTGATAATGCAAAGGTGCAAGCAAGGCAATCACTGTTTTCCTATTGGTGCTACAACTTACTTCATCCTGTAGTAATTGGTAATATAAAGACACAGAATCATATTAAGTCACATGGAAATTATTATGCAAACAAGCTGAAAAGTACCTGGGGCAGTTCTTCTTCACCTTCCCACATGGGCATGGATATTGAGTAGTGCAAAATGAGTGTCCATATGAGTCCAAGAATTAGCTTTAATCGACAATCAACGATGTCGGTGCTGTCTATCATTCAACATTAGTTTATAAGAAAGAAAATGAATACCAATATTGACCAACTTCAAGCCTTCATCGTCCTCAAGGAATTTAAGCACCATCGTCACGTTTTCCAGTTTCTGAGTACGAAAAGTAGGTTTTTTATTTACGTGGGCAAATTTTCGGCCAGACAACACTTCGACCAATCGTATAAGTTTTATGCCATCGGAAAAATCTGTCTGTATATCATTCACTGAGATTTTTGCTTGTTTCAGATGCTCATTAGCCCAGCGAGTAAAAGTATTCTTTTGGAAGATTTTCCACTGAGCATCTTCAGCAAGGTCACGTTCCGCCTGCGGCATCTCTTCTTCCTCATCTGAACCAACATAACCATCTTCGTACTCCTTTCCGCGCTGGTTAATTTCTGCGATTCTAATTGGAGGAAACAAGGTCAGTATTAAGTTCGTACCAATAATGCACAATAATAGTCAATCAAAACAATTTTCCTAGGACAACAACTTAACTCAGTTCGTTTTTTGTTCTACATTCATATTAAGAATTTTAATTATACAACGAATAAAAACTGACATTCAGCATGAGTTCAAGAAACGAAAGCTGCGTTAAAATTAAATAACACGATTTGAACTGCATAGAGTACAATGGATGGACACAAATCAATGACAAAAGATAGTACAGTCGTTTATAATATATGGCTAAAACTATCATTGGAACAAAATTTGTGCCCTTAAATATATTATGCTAAGAATCGGACTCCTGGGTAAAAACCAAGGAATGTTGTCCGAGAACAGCTCTATGTCAAGCCCAAAATTCGGAAAACCATGAGTCAGACTTCGTAAAAAGCGATCTAGATTAATTTTGAGTTTAAGTAGTAAGGCGCCAAGGTGACAAGTGTAGATGAAATAAAGGTTATCCCAGATTTAACAATATGTTTAAGAACGAACAAATATTGCGTCAGTGCACAAATAAAATTCCCGTCAAAAGCACAAATTCTCCACTTTTAGCGCCAATGTAGGACTTTAGATCAAAGTTTGACTTATAGTCTATTGATAACGAATATTTTATCATTCGTTAATAGAACTATGATTAATCGATTTATGAATGTGTCTGCTGAACTCAGAAATGTTAAATATATATTAACGTGTCGGCGTAAAAACAAATAAAACTTAAATCAACATGTTGCATATTTGTGTTGTCATATTTTTAATGGGAAATTGGGGTTCATAAGCACAAAACACCCCGCAGTTTTTAATAATCGGTTAAAATGTTCATATTGAAATGCTGGGATTCATAAGATGAGTAAATACTTGTGAGATAAATTAATTGATTGATTGCAAATACACTTGAGCATAGGTGAAAGCAAAATATGTAAAACAACTAGCAAAGCAGACATAGTCTTATATTCGATATATATTTCACACGAATTATTTTTGTTCTTGACTTGATTGTCATTTGCATGGACACCGCAGCTGAAAATCTGGTGTGAGTAAAAGATCAGCGTTTTTAACTTTTAAAGCACCTATGAATCATAGCTATGTAAGGTCATGTAAAATACATTAACATTTTTGTAACAATTTTCACCTAAGGCATTCGCCTAAACTCAAAACTCCGCTTATGTATCTATGTAAAGCAAAATTTAAAATAGCGTCAATTATACTTTAGGACGAAAACCTGCCGTAAATATTTTGTTCTGATTGATGCATTTACATCTAGAATTACGCGCGAAATCGCACTGCTCGTATTTTAACTCGTTGGGTAGAAGTTAATACATGTTTCTGCAAGTCGGATATTGAAATTTTTAAATAAAGTTAACATTTGTTGGTTTTTGACCTGATCTGCAATCCAGCCCAAGGCGTATTTTGCACTTTATGATAAATATTGTCAAACTACAATGCATTTATTTCATCAACACTTGTATAGTCGAGATGATTCTTTTCCACTGTTTACAAAATTGTCTGCTATTTTCGTCACTTAAATTAAGTGAAATATTTTGAGGTTTATTACTCTAACCCGTGGAGCATATAACTTAGCTCTCACTCCCTAACATGTACTAAATTTACTCTCACTACTGGGCTTGAGTTGAATTTTATGAGATATTAGTATAAAGTGTGGAATATGGCGGTCTTGCCTCGTAAAGTTTAAGCGCGCTGACCTGTCTTTCCAATGATCAGGAAAGTGTGCCCTCGGATCTCGATCGATTTTTTTCAATAGAGTATTTTGTTTCACCTCAACAGATGGAGTCATATTGGATTTTAAAGTGATTTTCGTAAAATCCATCTAAGCGTTACCGCAAATGTACCCTAGTTTCATAAGCACATGTAAAAATCTCGTTTTTGGTGTCTTTAAACAGGAGACAGGAGATCCTATAACTATACACGTTTTCAGCATCTAACTCATTTGTAAAGTGGAGTTCAGTGTCCCATCAGAGGCGTCAGGTTCTGTGATGAGTGTTAACATGTTTTTAGCTTATTAGGTCCATGATAATCTTGATTCCTTGATTATTGTTCCTTTTTTACAAGAAGTTAGCATCACGGAAGATTCTTCTTATCAAGTCCCATCCTATCATAATAGCCTATATCTGTCTTAATTTCTCCCCAGTTGCGCAGTATAACTATGCATCAAAGACTGATTGAATACAGAAATCTGTTCGATTCATAGGCTGCATTTCTAGCACCTTTTTGAATTGGATGAATAGGTAAGCACTGTAATTTTCTCTTGTGAAATTCTTAATTCTAATTGGCTGCACTGATCTGTGTTTGCTCTCACTTAAGTCCGATCAAAAAGATTGAGAGTTCCAGGCACACACGTAAAGTGCGCCCGAGGTCCAATCACTTAATGCTCAACAAGTCAAAACTACAATACATTGCTATGGGTTTGAATAGATTAAATGGGCATCACCAGGAAAACATTAGCACAAACAGAAAGGTAAAAACCTGGAGATTTTCCAAATGTAACATTTACCGCGTTATTTCGGGCATATTTAATTTGAGGTTTCTGGAAACAGATTGTTTGCAGAAAGTATTAATTTTAAAAATCAAATAGACCACTCCATAAACAGGTCAAGGTTAAATTAGTCGGTGTATCTGGAGAAATAAAATTCTATTTTAAAGTTATATATTCGTGCCAACACTTAATTGCTTGAAATAGGGGTAGTTGATGAGACTACATTTACCGTGAGACTTTTTTGTATGTTGCTTATCACAAAATAGGGGGCAGCATGGATTTGCGGCGACGATAGATCTATTCCGATACCTTTATCAATCTTACTGATTTATTGATATCTGGTGAATTCGCGTTTCTGTAGAGGACCCCAATTTTCATTACAAATAATCTTCGTGTCTCTCGTTGCAAATTTACACAAAAAATATGCCCTAACAAGGCTCAGTCAACGTTAGAGGAATCATAAATATTTGCTTTACAATCACTATCTATAAAGACAAACCCTTTCACTGTCTTGGATTAACAGCAGGAGTGTTCAGTTTATTTGGTTTGTACAAAGTGTCAATGCCGAATATTTTTAGTTGAATTACATTAATTCGCGTAGTCTTACATAATTTTTGTATGGAAATCGAGCTAGAACTTACAGTGCGTCCATATTGCAACGGTAAGTGTTGTTTAAAGTTGGAAGCAAACTTGAATGACTCCAGTAACACAGGCAGCAAAAGGTCGGCGTTAAATCCCTCCCTTCGGTAAACTAATTGAAATCCCATAAAATGGCAATTAGAAAACTGTCAAGGAACCAATCCGAAAACGACGGGAAGCACCATATTCCCAATTGGACAGTCAAACATTCGATCCGCGTGCGCATTTGGTGAATCTGGCCTCTCAATTGGCTTAGGGCAGACAGAATTCCTAAGGTCGTATTTCATGCCAATGCCCTTCAGGCAGTCGTTTCTGCCGCCCACGCCCGAGTGCTTAGCAAATTCCAGGGAAACACCAAAAAAGCGTCGATTTCTTTCGATTCCTTTAACAATGGCAAATTAACCGTGAGGACAATACTAAAATATTGTCCAACTAAAGTGTCAGCTGATGAATTGAACCTCCATAAAGGGCGTGATTCTTCAAATTTATCGCACTATTTTACTTTTAGACACAAATAATTTGATCCTGCCTACTTATTTGAAATCAGACTGCTGGGAATTTCTTGAAGTATTAATTTGTGGAAATTAGTGGTTATAAATTCACTGAATTTCTTTAGAAAAAATTGGCTTCCCAATAGTGACAAAGGAGGTGGTTCAGGACAGAAAAATTTTCATTTCTACCCAATTGACAGTTTAGCCACGTGATTAGTCAGTGAACACTTTCCCGTATCGGTTACTCAAAAAATTTTCAAGCCACAAGATATTTAATAGCCAAATTTTAAAATACATCATCAACAAGACAGAAGCTTCAATTCTTTTGGCAGCACGCAACCTACTTGCAAATTTTACATTAAATAGATGGAGATCCGAAAAGGATCACTTACAGGCTGAACTGTTTCTGCAATTTGTTGACCAATGCCTTGCTTACTATAATAAATTTTCAGTTAACTTGCGTTGATTTATCCCAAGACAAAATTACAAATTAGGCATGGCACCACGCTCGACAGAATCGCAAGATTTCAAATTAGGAGTCTTTAGGACTAAGTCACTCTCAAATCATCGAAGTTGGCTTGGTAAAATGAAAGAAGACTGCATCGTGTTATTGCAAGAATTCGTTCGAAAATGCAACATTCCTTTTTTTCTTCAGTGCATTTCATTAATGTTTAACTTTATGTTGTAAGGCTTGAATGCAGCAATTTTAACTAACACGGAGTCGAATTATTTATTGCCCAACATTGAAAGTCACATCAATTGGGTAATTTTATTGGCTAAATAAGCCAACTTCTTCACAATTTGTTGTTTCACTAGGGAATGTTCGTCAGAAATAAAGTTAATTTAGGCTAAATCTAATCGTACAGAAAGGAAAGAAGAGCTTGCCCTGGAAGTATTGCAATGGACACCGAGCCGTGTAGGTCATGAGGCTCATGTATCCGGCTCCGACATGTGATTCAACGCATTCTTCCACTCTCGCCCTACACACACTGAAAAGACATTCATTAAAAAGGTTAGGCCGTCGTCGGTTGCCATAGAGTAGGTGACATCCACCTCGAAAAATTGTTTTACAAATTGAAAACACGTTCAGTGTCCTCTACTCACACCTGATTTTCAGCTGCCTCATACATATCAAGGACAATCAAATTAAAAATAAAATTGAAGCACATAAAACACAAATATTATTTCTGAGACTATGTCGGTTTCATTATTTGTTTCAAGCACATTGTTTTCACTTAGGCTCCTAATCAGTTGTGTAGGTAATCGCGTTGGTTCATGTCTATTAACCCAGTCATCGCCTTCTCAGACACGCCATCCCCCTTTACAGAGCGTGCCCGTCAGCCTTGGTGGACCGTCTGATCACCCTCCTGTGCGTGTACCACCCCCGCCATCTGATTCACTCACCTGAGCCTGCAGTCATTTGTACTTTTACAAGGTCACCCAAACTATACTGACTAATGACTACATTAGACATGCACAGCAGTAAATGCACCAGCGCTACAAGGCTGAGCCATCGAAGAAGGGGTTGTCTGAGCCGTCTCCCGAGCATCGGCGTAGCGCAAACGCAGCGGCTCCAGTGTTTCACTGCGCACGCTTCAGCCCACTATTTAAAACAGTTTGGCACTTCCAGTCACTTATCTCCCTGAACATCTCCTTAAGCACAGTTTTTCCAAGTTACAAATAAGCTTCATAAGAATTGCTGTTTGAACCATGAGTTAAACGCACTTCGCGTAGAGCATAATTACGCATAAGAACCGCTTATTTTATTCCAATATTGAATATATACATATGTCCAAAAATTTCATATTCGTTAATTGTCCTTGTACTCAACACACTCCTTCCATAAAGTGCATCACATGTCTGACACCTAGTTAGGCAAAAATTGGTAATGATGACAGCATTTTTGCGAATGTGAGGTAACGCCAAATTGATTTAGACAGGACTTCAACCGGCAGAACCGGGTTTCCTATCAAGCATTCAATTGAAGAGCAGATCACAATCTACTTCGTAGAATGAGGAACTGCCTTGATCTTTAACCATTTGGAAAACCTGCATCGAAGGCCTGTGTTAAAATAAGTTTTAACCTAATCTGTGAATTTGGCGACCCATTCGTCTTCTGCTGAAACTTGCCCTTTAGATGATCATGTCTTTATGTACAACTGTTGTCAAATTTTGATTTAGCCCAGATGTTGGTTGAGTGATGCCTTCGAGGGCATCAGGGTTGTCAAGATTCAAGCACGGTTAAAACTTGGCCCCCATGGTTATTTATTCCCCCAAAATTCCTTTCTTTTATTTTCTAGGATTTCCGACAAGTATTCAGGTTCCTCGACTTGAACGCACACCCTATCAACTTTCTTTGCTAAATCACCCCTATGAGCGTCGTGTTGCAAAATAATGAGTCGTACCTGTTCAAATACCGCTCACATCATTGTCTTCTTTTCGAAATCCTAAATTAATTTTGGTACAAACAAACGCCAACACTTAGGTTTTCACAAATATCAAGCATTTGTTGACATCTTAGATCCCTTTCGGGCATAAATTAGTTTCCAGAATTTTGTGGACACCGTATTACGGATTGACTGCCGCAATGGCTAACGTATTTAATTAATGCTAAGCTTTAGTCTCCAAAACCCTATATTTGCTACGACGATTTGGTTTCCTTGTCAGCAGGTGTTTTTTACCATATTATGGTTACAGCCGTTAAGTGTGAATTTAAGTCAAACTTTTGGCTGCCTAAAATCAGTTACTTCCTACTCAAAATTACTGTCAGATACCATGAAGGACGCCGGTTCGAGTTATTTTGCTGTACGGTAATTACAGTGAGATCCGTGAGAATAGGATGATATAGCCAGTTTTTTCACGCTAAGTATTTGAATTCTAAAAGCGGAATGCCACAAAAATGGCGCAAAACTAGTTTTTGAAGCAGAACGTGCCTAACTGATTTGCGGCATTTCGCGCACGTGGCTTTTTATTGAATGTTATGTCCGGGTCTGATAAATCGTCAAAATTCTCCGACTGTAAATAAGGTAGCGCTGCCTCACAAGCCAGCACTTTTTTCCGTCGCACAAGCGAGAAGAAAGTGATGGGTGGTGGCAGCTACAATGGTATAATGCGTGTGTGCGTGCATTGTTGCTCACGCGACGACGGTTAACTCGAGCATGAAGATCAGTGGCTAAGTTGACGAATAGGCGTTGACCTGAATGGCGATAATCCGGCTGGCACAGAGTGGATTGCTAACACATCTGAACGATGCGCAGTGAACATTAACTGCGAGGTAGACGAATGCATCCAGGCGACTTAAAGTACGCGTCAACTCAAAATTTTTATTGAGTAGATTGCACACAGCCACGACCTTATCTATAGGAGGGATTTTACTGTGCAAGTGCGTTAGACCACAAAATGTGTCCTCAATTTGAATTAAAGTCCGGTAATTGGAAATGACATGAATTAAGAATAATTTGCTTGGGAAAATTCCACACCCCATATCTCGTCCCACCTTCTGCAGATCGGTTGATTACCAGAGCTAAAACATTGGCCTGTATCGTAAGGCGGGTGGATCAGGCCTAACGTGGCAACAAACTGACTGTACCGTCTACACCAAAAGCGAATTCAAACTCGGCATGTTTAAGAGGAGTTACTGAGCTAGAAGCTTCCTCAACCCGAGACGTCAGCAGTTATAATGGTCTGAATGCTTGAAAGGTAAACACCCGAACAAGACTCCGAAAAAAGCATTTGGCACTCGCCGCTAGACTTTATCTATTTGGACAACGTCCCGCAGCACACTACACCGCCCACATAGCGCCCACCACTACACTGTATGGGGCAGGAAGATGCTGCTATCCCACAGTCTGTAATCTCCGCACACCGAAGCGAAAGTTTTCTCGTCTCTTTAAAAACAGCTAGTGCCGATAGCGCCACAGAAGATGGTACCTTTGCTGCAACGGATGACTACATCAGGTTCATGGGCAAATTATTTCTAATTCTGAAAGTTACCTCAAGACAGTTCTCACAAAAAATCGGAACTTCTACGCCCTCCTTATCGAACAGTTCCCGATATGCATATGTCCATACTAAATCTAGCTGATAACACCCATTTTTGTCAATTGCTTCAACAGTAGTTAGTGGTCATGAAAACACCAGTCGGCACACAAGAAGGCACCTTCGAAAACAAGTCGTATGGCATTTTAAATACTAACCAGACCGACTGAAATTGACGACTGTGAAAAATCCGAGTTTGACACAACGGTCTGTGAATTTTATTTCAGATGACACAGTGCTGGAAGTGTTTCCTATAAAGTCAATATTTGGAGAGAGGGGTGAGAGCAATGGATGAGCAAGCAATCGATTATGGCGGTTTCGCTTGAACGTATATATGTATATATATATTGGAGGCGTATAGGAAAAACAGGGCGATTCGGAAGGCAAATCTCACTTCGTTCCAGCTCCAAGTAGAGATACGCTGTCAGTTTGCCAACAACAGAAGCCAGAAAGTAGAGCGAAAGAGTGGAATAAATATCAAAGTCAAACTGGTAACATTTTGTAGAAGTCTTGTACGGAAATTCAGTTGGGTATTAGCTTACATTATAGGGCTTTTCCGACGAAATTATGTCGTTTGTGGATAACAGCAACCAAATCATGTATCAAGAAGGGAAACACGACTGATGAGTCAAATCATTTTTGACCAAAGCCTGCCTGATCTAGAGTTTCAAGATTGTGAACGAACACCTCATCTATAACAGCTTCTACGAAAGCAGTGAATCCAGTGTGTCGTTAGTGGCCATATTTTCAACTGCAAAAAATTTAATCACTCATAAAATGCATTTAAAAGTCACAATTGAGACTCAGGGTGCCTAAGTAATCACTGCAGGGAAATTTTACACCTTAAGAAGTGGTTGGAATTTGTCTTGTTGGTTAGAACTGCAGATATGAACTTGGCATGACATTAAGCGCCGTTTGTGATATTCAAACCACAGGGCTTCTTATTGCTCCCGTGTTTTCCACTTTGCGGTGCTAGTCCACACCGATTAATCACTGTAGCATGCAAGAATCTACCCGGATTTGCACTTGTAATTATATGGAAAGGCCGTATGGCAAAAGGAGCACGCAGAATCTGAAGGATTGATGTATTACTCTGGGGAAAGCTGAAGGTCAGTCGGAGAGGAGGTCGATGGCGAGGGCTGCAGGGCGTTTTCGCGCTCGCGCCTCACCGTCATCCCCAACGCCCCCGTCCACCAGGACGTCGGCCGGGAGCCGCAGCCTTGAAGCCCGCCGGCGACCTGACGACACGACGTACACGATCGTCGAGTAGGGAGTGAAATGGAAGTCCATAGTGACGACGTCATTGCATAGAGACCAAGCAATCAGGTATTCACAAAATCGAGTCTGTTTCCGGCGACTGGGAATGCCTGAGACGATGCTGGACAGAGTTGCTGCAACAGTTTTGTCCTTTGAAAGGAGATCGACTAATTTGGCCCCTGTGAGACGTTGCGAGTTGAGGCTACTTTCCTGAAGGATCTCAGACATTTTGTTGAGGGCTCCAGTGACATCCAATTCAACTTAACAAAAAATTGTTTGAATACGCTTGAGAGGATCCACTTTGGGATCCTTCCGCTATGTCCGTACTACAAATTTGAGTTACAGCACCAAGTCGAGGCTTGTAATCCAAGTAATCGGAAGTATGAATTAGCCTTCTACGGGCTAAATTGAGTTCTATAAAATCAATTCTGCGGTCTACTGCTCCATTATCCTTCGACATTTCCTCATCATAACACCAAACTAGTAGCTCCTAGTGTTTCCTAGACGGCACTGATACCACTAGAATTCGATTGGAATAATAGATATGTGGATAAATTTTGCAAAAAAGACAAAGGGCGAAAGCCTTCACAACTTCTCGAAGCTGAAAATGACCGGGATGAATATATTTTTAATCAGTAGTTCATCTTTTAAGTAAAATTATCGATAAACATGCACCCGACAGCTGCCGTAGTTTCTGCTTTTAATTTCACCGCCACATTGCTAGAGCCCTTTATAGCCCTGAATATTTACCTGTCTGGATGTGCATGTGCCAGCAACGGGGCGACCAATCAGGAACAAAAGCCCTATTTAGCTTGGTCTAGGCGCAGAAGGGACCAATTGGAGAAGAGAGGGAATATTTATGATAACAGTAATAACCAAATACGTGTATTCTTGAAACCCAACTTGGACTGTATTCCAATCACTTTAAAGTGCTCGATACAGTTTATTTAGTTTCACAACACAATTATTCTCGGCCCTCATCAGTCAATATTTCTTCACTTAGATGGGTAACAATGAAAATCGTTGACGAAAATCTCTTAATTGCCATGGTGTTGAGAAATGGCACGATTAGCACTCCAGAAGCAGAGTTATAATAGACTAAAATAAGAAATTGTTATCTTGTATATACTTGCGTATTTAATTGAGGATGACTTACGACCTTCTGAATTTCCTGAGGTGGCGGAACAAACGTCACAAGGTGACTGGCCGCAGTGTTCGGCTTTCCAGCTGTTGTCACCCAGTCCATCAGCAAGAAGACGTCGCCGGCACTGGCGCGTATCAACAACATAGGCGATCATTTGGGACAGTTTGGCCAGGCCTGTCTGCTCGCTAAAGACCATATTTGCCAGTCGAAATATATCGCCTAGGCGCCAGAAAAGGATCACTCTACTTGGGCGCCCGTCACGGCCAGCGCGGCCCGACTCCTGATAGTAGTTTTCGACACTTTTGCTGGGAGACAGGTGCAAGACAAAGCGGACGTTTGGCTTGTCGATCCCCATGCCAAAAGCCACGGTCGCTACTATCACCTACAGGTGGATAATTTGTGAATCCAAAGTACACAGCACATACACCCAATTCGTAGTATCGTCGGTTCTCGGCAATTTTATTTGCCAAAATCTCCGCCACAATTGTACCCAACTATTTAAACAAAATGATCAGTAATTTTGTCGCATAATTTCCCACAAAAAAAAATCCAAAACTGGGTTAAGTTACCAACCGGTCTTCTGTCAACACTTCAAGGAAGCCCAAGCACACAGTTACTAATACATCACACGTGGTTCATCTTAAAAGGTGCCCGGTTTTCGATAATACCGCATCTTTTGCATACAACAAGTCAACCCAAAGGATAAAGCAGATGGGAAATTTCAGGCAGATAGACCCGTGCATTTATTCGTCAATTTAGAACTTGCGTGAATACAAAACTGTAAGGTCGTAGAACGAAAGTTTAGGACAGATCACGCAGTGAACATCGAACCCATTCACAAATTGATTAAAAAATTAGAATGTTTGCATAGGAGACATTGCATGCTATCAAAGCGTATTCGAATAGACTAGATTAAGAGGGCCATTGAGACATGTCCAACTGTACATTGCAACATTTACTTCACAGTAGGTGGTCAAAACTTCAATGCCACATGTTGTTTATCACAATTGTGCAAAGACCCCGATTTTGAACGCCTAGTAAAGGTGCGAAAAAATACTAAAATCGCGCATAACTGTAAAGCGATTCAACGCAGCTCTCAGAAAGAGAGTACAGTCAATCATGCATCTGGTACAAACCACATGTACGACATTTGATAGTGCAATAAACATTTGAGCTATTCAAAAATGAAGACGAAAATTGGTTGAAGTGGCCAGCACGTGTGCTAGGAGCAGAAACGGCTAACCTTAATTTTGTCCTCAAGCCAAGCCACGTGGTCGCGCGCGCGTTGCTCCGCCTGGACGTTGGCGTGGTAGTGCGCCGAGGCGACGCCCGCCTCATTGAGGTACGCCGACAAACCCTCGGTGTCCTTTTGCGATAAGCAGTAGATTATGCCTTAGCATTAGAAAAAAAGCAAGTATCTTAACAAGGTGTACTGAAAAATACTGGGCTAATTTTATGGCGCACGGAAGATAGTGAAATAAGGTGACAGAAGTTAAATCACGCGTACTTTGCATCACTGTCGAATGACGTGCATATGCGACAGTAAGGACTCAATGGTCGTTTATACACTACTCGAAGTACTCAGGCAAAATACCTTTTGGAAGATCACTCCTAAGTCTACTAGAACAGGCTTTCTACTACCATTTGAGAAATTACTCAGTGCTGTTTTGACAAGTCTGGCTAGGGCTATTGGGAATTTAACATGGCCTCAAATGAGGAACCCCGTCTGATTGGTCACCATCATCTGTGACGAGGTGGCTAGTCCGAAATACGAGGCAATGCATTTTGATCCTAATCGGAAAAATCAGCACGAAGCCGTGGCGATATGGCGATGAGACACAATACCCGTGAATCCAATCAATGATTTTTTACCAAAATTAACGATGATGCATAATGTGCACGAAAGTTTACCGGATTGTCCAAGAAACTCGGATTTTAGCAAGCCCAAAATGGTACTGTATGAGGAGGAAATAGGCCCAGACTGGAAGCGCACCTATAATGAAAATTGGTAGGTAAAGAAGGAGAACGAGTGTATTGCAATATGATCAACATTTTCGCTTAATCAATGATAAATGACCACGGTTTCATCATTTTATATCCCTGCTTTGATAATTGCAGGATACAAGTTGTTGTTTAATTAGCATTAAAGTCATATAGAACACTCACCAATCTTGGGCATCTGATGCTCACAACCACAGCCTATGTCCCGCTTTAAATCTTGCCATTCGTGACAGGTTTTGCACGAAAGAAAAGTATTTTTCTTAATCAAAAGTTACTGTAGACATACTTCACCATTCATTTTCTTCACGAATGTAGGCCACTGATTTTCAGCATAATACAAACTACCAGTTGTTGCTTTGTGGAGTCACTTGATGCGGACTAGTCAACAAGAAAATCACAGCCTTGTGTCGCGCCGTGGTCCTTATTGTGTGCGAAATAGTCATTTGTAAAAGACTAAAGGCATGGAGATGCTATCATTCCCGTTCCTCCTTAAAATGCATTTTGTCACTGTCTACGAATCAGGGACATCCAAAGGGGCTTGCTGAGGAATGCGCCTTGAAATTAATTCGACGTTAAGGCTCACCCAACCTTGGCATTAGTTCTGTTGTTTATCCTTTCGACAGATAAATCACGTCGAAATGACACTTGCCACCAGAGGGCAGGCTTGCAATTACAGCATCAGCATGCCTACGACAATTGTTGACGGAACCAGTGATTCTGATAGCCGGTTTTGTAGAATATTCGTAGTAGCCAGAAATGATCACCATATCCAGGATCATGTTAGCAAAATTCACAAGCACCGAATCACAATATGTCGCTCTGTGCTTCATTAAACCAACACATCGGCTACATGGTCGGACAAGGAGGTTGAAATATGCCATAATTTGAAAATGTCCACACAACCACACACACAGACACACACAATACCACTTCAAGATAACATGAATCAGAGCAATTAATGACTCGAGGTTAATATCATTCATGTCCGAATGTATTCGGAGGCAGATTGTTTACGAGCTAGGGCATTAAATGGGGTTTAGCTACCTCGTAAAGAAGATTCGGTCGATTGTAAGAGGACCGAAGAACAAGACAGTCAGCCTTGAGACCGAGCATCTTCTGCACATCAAGAACCACCTCCGCAGAGGCTGTCGCGGTCAGTCCGAGGATGGGGACGCCGGGGAACTGGGAGCGCAGAACGTGGAGGAACTTGTAGTCCGGACGGAAGTCGTGGCCCCACTGGCTCACACAGTGCACCTCGTCGACGACTATGCGCGCCAGGCGACCACGCTCGTACGCCTTCTCCAGACGATGCATCAGCACTTTCGACTTGGATAACTTCTCTGGTGTAACGAAAAGCACACGAAGACATCCATTCCTTGGCTGAAATGTCAACGGTGTTAAGTAAACCGTCCCCTCCATCAGGTATAATTTTCAATGAAAAGGTCAAAATATCAACAAATTTTGCGAGGTCATTATCGCAAAACCCTATCAGTCAATTATTGCTAAAGAACAACTGTGCTGTTCCGCACGAATGTCGCATCACGAATTCGCACACTTGTGTGACGTGGGTTTGAGTTAGTTTTCAAGGATGTCGGCCACCAGATGGCTCGCAGGTCTGTTTGCAGGAGGAGGAGGAATGGAGCAACCGCCAATCGGTGGTCGAAAAGAGTCATGTTCGGATCTCTACCATTGGCCGACGTCAGATGGGCTGCAAAATTCATCCACTTCACGCCATTGGCGTTCAACCAGCGTCAACCACAGTAGAAAGCATATCAAAGGAACCTAGGTGCACTTTAGCAGGCCTTACCTCTTCACTGTCGTAACGGACAGTAAGCATCGCCATTATACTAACACGCTGTCTACGTCGCCTTGGCATTCGCTAACTGTTGCTACGTTGATAACAATCTATAGGGACTATTTCCAGGGCTAGTGACATTGCATATTGTATGAAGAATGATTACCTTGGCTTGGCTATCGCTTATTTCATGAAGGACACGTTTTTGTTCGGCCGGAGGTAGAGCGGCATCCAGAAGGGCCACGGAAGCCTCGGGAATGGACAGGCGTTTCAGAGCTACTGCCTGGTCAGTCATCAGGGAGACAAGTGGACTAACAACCAGGCTGAACTTTCCAAGGTACTCGGGGGTTTCAAGGAAAGAGGGCAACTGGTACACCAAGCTTTTGCCGGCACCTAAATTTAGATAATGATTGCACAAAATTTACAATTTACTTAAATGTAGGTAGTAAAATTTATTTACCAGTTGGCATGACAAGAACCACATCCCGGTTATCCAAGAAGGCATTAATTGCAGGTAGCTGTAGAGGACGAAACTCCGAGATGTGAAAGACGTCCTGTCTGACGCGATTAAGTTCAGCAGACCAGGGAAAATTTCTCTGCTCAGAATATTCTGAAGAAGCTGAGACCTCAGCGGAGTTCAATTTGGCTAAAGCGATTTGATGCTTCACCTGATCAAGCTCTGATTGAAGAATCTCACGTTGTTGAGTGAGAGCCTCTATCTTCACGTTGAGTGATGACAATTTGGACTGTAGTCGCAATTCGTGGTCAATCAGGTCTACATTCTGTTATAACCACAGCGAAATTCTCACCTGTCAGACACTCGTTCATCGTTTTTCGAACTGCTGAAAAGTCGAATAAACATTGTGTCGACAATATTCGAAGTCTGCAGACCAGTGCTAAGCGTACTTTAATGACACCGGAGTCAACTTTGATTCACCAGCCGCAAATCAAGTCAGCCGCACCTCCTCGCAGCCATTTTGCCAGAGCGGGAGTTCACTGACCGATTAATACAACTTTTCCAGACCAATAAGCAAACCACATTTTAGGTTACCCGATGTAGTGATTTTTTGGAAAAAAACACAAATTAACTGCCTGACATATATTCAGTCTACTCACAGTAGCTAAGCGACCAATAAGACGTGCTCCATTGCAAAATAGGTTTATAATAACATTGGTTAAGATAACTGGCGGACTGAAAAGGCTAGCTAAAGCCAAAACACGCAACAGGTTGAGCAAAAATGCACGAAAAACTAAACAGCATGCGATTACTCAAGATACTTAGAGCAAAAAACGCAACTTTTGTCACCAGTTCCACAATATGGTAGCGATGAAAATTAACACGAACCGCTTCTACACTGTAGAATTTAAAGCGAATGCTACGAAGGCACCTTAATGAGGTGCTACTCAAAACGTAGCACGTTATAAATAACCGCATCGCAAGAAAGATGGCGAAAGCGGCCCATTTTTTGTTACTAACAGTCACTGTCGTGCATTCTAAACATATAACGCCAGGACAGCAACTTTGCGAGACATACTTTCAAGTGAGTCAAGAAAACATAAAAAGAAAGCGAAATAAACATCACAGGTAATTTATTGGAATATTGACAAAACTGGAAGGAAACGTGTGTCCGGAGGGACTACAATAACGGATAGAAATCTTAAAAATTCTGTTCTCTTAACAACCTCCTGTATTGCGCTTCGGTGAAAGTAACGCGTCGACACTTCCTTCTAAAATAAAATATTTCCTATTCATTCCTAGCTAAAAAATGTGGCTAAACGAGGACAAACTGATGGCTTTCAATGCACTACTCGAGGACCAGTCATTGCCTTTTTGCATGAAAACTGTGTGTGCAACAGCTGTGAAATTTCGGCTCCGGACCCTAAACTACACCGATCATTGATCATTATTACTGTAATTTAAACGACTTTCTACCGAATGGCTGGGTTTGAAATTGACATATAATGTTTTCAATGCATTAACAACTGAGCTCACACCGAGATGTCACAATTCCAAAACCTTCGACATGAACAATTCACAATCCTTTTACAGCAAATCAAGCAAAAACACATAGGAATCTCGCCAACACACTCACTTTCTTTTTTTGGGCACTTTCGGAGACTTGGATTGGATCTTTGCTATTCCTCTGTTAGTGGATCTAAATGCAAAGTTAGGCGTGAGAAATTCAACACATGGCGAAGTGCTAGGGTTATACGAGCTAAGATTGGTGGCGAGTTCGAATGCAGTGTTGGGTGTGGCATTGAGGAGAGCAACTCTAACAAAGCCAACCTCGTCTGCCCCATCGATCGTAAGCAAGCCCTGAGCGCTGGCTTGGTAAAGCAGGCATTTGTGGGCGGGGGAAGGGAGGTCGCAAAGCCAGTCAGTCGTGCAGGGCGGGTCACCATGAGGTCGTGCTGCTGCTGCTGTCGAAACACTCACCTACTAGTAGAAGGTGTGACCTCCAAATCTGAGTCTTGATGTCGAGGCGTGGTCGCCACAGAGACATCCTCCCCAAAACTCATCGAGCGGGTAATGCGGGTGGTGGAGTGAGGATCAGCAGATGCCATAGCGCCTTCGCCAAGAGAGGTCGCCTTCTCACCAAAATACTGCAGTGATGAACAGCCTTCTGCTTCACATTTTTCGAGCTGATAAAATGAGAGAAGGCGACTAACCGGTAAAATCATACCTGGCCAAATAATAAGCAAAACTTATGATAATGCACGAATGAATTGGACTTCACCGGAATAGGTGCCTAGCATAATGACACCTCGAAAGCCACCAAATCCGTAACTACTCTTCAGCATTATGCTTTCGTTTGCAGGAAAGAGCCAGGGCACCGGAGTTGAGTGGTGGAAACTTTGGTTCACTGCTACTTACAGTGCTTGCAACCATTACAGGCTAATCGGCTGCACTGCTAAAATTAACAATCAAGTAATAACGCGACTAGGCCGAATTTAGTTTCCGCATCCCCAGAGATTGTCAAACACCGATTCATTGCCTTTATTAAAATGTGGAAAATCCTTATAAGGGGTATTCGTGGGAATCCTTAAACAAGCACCACATAAAAGGATGTTCCGAATCTCGACTAAATGTTCTGTAACTTTGACTGCCTTGTAAACCGAGGATCAGCTATAGTCCAAATTCCCTTTCGAAGTAAGAGACGATTCTTCGAGAACTTTTCCAGAGAACTAGCGTTGCCTTCCTGCTTTAGGAACCAAGGACCGAAAGATAAACATAATCTGGATTTGATTTTTCGCATACACTTTCAGCTACCCCAGTCTAGGGCTTTATCAGGACCCTTCAAGTCATCGACCTGAAGTCGATCACAAATCAGCCCGCCTTCCATTAAAATCGCGGTGTCATGTTTTGAGTAGGACGAGAAGATTCACAGCCACTGCGATCGAGATTAAAGGTATAGACGAGCGAAAAGTGGATTATACTGCAACAGGTAGAAACGCTGATAAGACCATAAGAGAAACTGAGGAAAGGTTTCTTTACCTGCTCAGATTTTCCTCAAACACTTCTCAACGATTTCCTCGGTGAGGATGTTAGCGGTTTGTGTGGACGAAGTTCTTGAGACGTGTGCCCCATCCTCCTACACAGCCGTCTACAACATCTGACGTGTTATATTTCAGTATGTCATGGAATGCTGTTTTATCAGATGCAGCTCAAAGTGGGTAGCTAGACGGAGAACCTTCGACCCAACCCTAGGAATTGAGCCCCACTCGGGAACGCAGCAGCTGGGTAGGAAGCGGGTCTCGCTCTTGGTTTCACTCCTGTTTAGATAATTAGAACTGACTCTCCTTCAAGCACTGATGGTCAGTGGCCACATCTCTCAAACTAAACATAATCTGGAAATCCGGGCACCGCTACCTCTAGCAAAATTCTGGATTAAGTGCGTTTCCTTGAAATGCTACGCAAACATCAGCAGTTTTTTACTCGACAATTCAAGTTTATTCGTTCAGAATAAAGTTGCGAATTATGAAAAAGGATTATTTTTGAATTATCCGTAACTAGCAATCTCGTAACCTTTAATATTAAAATCATCTAGATCTATAGGCATCCAAAAACTGCTCTATGTATTAAGACCTCAACAATACAAAATAGACGCAAATCCATAAAACACTGTGTCGGCGAATCGCCGGCTGTCTCCGGTCAGGCGACGATTCGCCGGTCACGCTAAGCAGGTACTACTGTTTCACAGAACCAAAATAAAAACTAACCCAGTTACTCTTTCATTTACAATAAACATGTCACTTGGTAAATACAATAAACGAACTGTCTAGAGCATTACATGCATTCACACAACCGCTGATTTCTTTCCGGCATCCGTTCTATCCCTAAAATCGATAACCGTGTTTGCCACGTAAAAGATTGAAGTAATCACTTAATGATAACCAAGAAAAGTGCAGGGTTCCGTGGAAACTTACTAAACTTGCGAAAATTAACGAAGCAGCCCATTACCTAAGGTAACTTGTGCAAACGACCTAACCGAACTCGATTCGTGCCTTTGGCTATTAGTTTTTCGCAGATACCAACTTAAGAATCTATGTTGTAGCTAGACTAGATCTTAGTGTCCCATTAACTCAAGCATGAAAGATCGTTCTCTGTTGTTTCCTCCAAGTTCAGGTCTTTACATTCCGCCGTAATGAAACAGAAAGATAATAGGTTCACAGATCACTCGCAAGACACTTTTGAAAACAACGTATCCCGAATAGAAGCCGTTAACTTGAACATCTTTACTAGACCAACACGTCCATATGGGGATCCCTTCGTAATAATTCGGTGTATCCAAAAAATTAACTTGTACATTTTCCACAGCCCCCCTAGCAATAACATATTAGTATAATCCTTTCTACTGCATGTGTATCTAAACGAGGCTTGCATCTACCACAATGTTATACGCATTTATCAAGACAGCCGATTCATTTTTGGATGTGCACTCAAGGTGAAAAACTGGGGGGAGGTTATAACCGGTATGCAGCAATACTGAATAAAAAACTCTGAAACATACGTGATGTCTGAACTTTCGGTTAAGATGAGCAACAAAGCGTATAAGTGATTCGTGGCGCATTCTAAGGTTCCTCACTTCTTGTTCAAGGCGCCTAAATTCATTCTGAGATGCCATTCCTGCGATAACAATGGATTCTAGCAATGAAACAAAGGAAAATTGCATTTAGATAACTTTATCTGACAAGCAATTCAAACAGGTTAGGGTGATCCAACAAGACTTATATGTAGCACAGCCAGTGACGGGTGCAGGAAGTGATCCAAAATACACGGAAATCAGATGCCACACAAAAGAACATAATTTATCATTGGAAGAATTATAGCCTCAGCTTCTAACATAAGTTCACAGAAATTATGGAGCATTCTTGGAATAGGGAGCTGTGACTGAACTACGAAAATACTTTTTGAGGAATGTGAGCTAAATTAGTAAAGTAGCAGCAGGAGAAAAAAACCAATTTGTAAGGTCCACCTGGAGAATGAATGTTCACTGACGATAAAATAACCAAAAAGTAATGAGTTTGGGCACAGATATCTGAAAAAAACTGTTGACGACAACTACAGTACCATTTCGCCCTTCAAATATTTGAGGTAAATACTCACAAGCACTGAATATTTAGGCATGACACGGCAATGTAGTCCTAGCTGATTATATTACAACATAGCAAGAGTAAGCCAGGAATTAAAAAAAACCAAAAACTATGTTGAAAGAGGGGCACAATGCTCAAATTCAAAAATTTATTTGACTTCAGGTGGAAAATATAGTGTATCAACAATACTAAATGCAAAAAAAATTAATTAGGCATAACAGAATGGAGAGGGTGTACAACTGATGGGGACTTGCAGCACCAAGGCATTAGACGGCAAAAACAAGTTGTGTGGTGT